TACTGGCCTGCTGGGACAATTGCTGAGTAATTATATAAAACCCAAAGCTTTTGTTAAATTTCTATTTAGATTTAATTTGTATTTTAATTATTAGATATACCCTTTTTAAGTTTACAATAGAAGGTAGCGCCTATTAGACGGATTAAACTTTTTTTTCTATCTCACAAAAACCAAGAAAGCATTGTTTATTCTAAAGATTTTTTATCTTCCTTACCTTGACCAATCAAATAAACCTCTAATTCCGTTTCTCCCAAAGGACTTCACTTTTAATTTGAAACATAAAATCAGAAGCAACTAAACTATGTTGTATTACCTTCAATATTCAATATATATAAGTATATTTCTTATAGTTATCTCTGCTAGAAGTTACATTCTTCGGTACTGATATTACTTTTCTTTATTAAATTCTATTTAATAAGTTATTTACATGTTAACTGGAATTTAATTTTTAAAAATCTCATGATACCACAGTCAATTAACTATTTTTTGAAACTTTATAGGACTTTTTTATACTTGCTTAACCTATGTCTACCTTTTGAAGTAAAAGTCGGTAGAATCGGTTTCCTTAGCTTTTATGACATTTTTTTTAGAAAAAAAATAAGAGACGTAGAAATTTCTATGAAGTTTAAGTCAATATACTGGAAATGGGACTTAAATCTGTTGTCATTTTCAGTACTTGGATCTTTAGTTTTTGAAGATTTATGCATAGATTACCGCATATTATCAGCTTTTAAAAAGTTGGTTGAAAGATCTATAAATAGTCAAGTAAATAGTTTGGATGACTCCCCTTCAACTATAAATAAGCATCAAAAAAGTTTCCTAGAAAGTAAGACATTTATTTCATGGCTCATCATCATCTTCAAAATAATAATTAAAAGGTTCTCAAGACTTTTTACAAATAACGTATTATTTTTCCTATTTTATTATATAAAAGTTTTAGAATTCAAATTTCTAATTCTACCTTAAATCTTTCGTCTTTGGACCTGGTCGGTAGCTTTTATAAAATCTCTTTGTTAACTTTAGTAATAGTAAAAAAAATTGTCTTGGTAAAAATCGCTTCTAAAAATATTTTTCTAAAATCGCAGCATCCAAATAAATTATGAAATTAAAAAAAAAAAATTAACAAATTATAACTTGCTTGACAGCAATAAATCAATATTTTTATTTACCTTTTTATAACAGTTTAAGTGCAGTTTGACCCTGCAACAACTCGACTTACTAAATTTGAGAAAAGAAAAAAAATGTTGGGTTACTTTTTTTTTTGGTAAACTTTTTGAAATTTAAATTTCTTTTCAACGCAGATTCACCGAACGAAAACAAAGACTGCATAGTTCAACTCGAAGGCTGCCGCCTTCTTTTCGCCTCTCGCAGCAATAGTCTGTTGTCTTGTTTTTTCAACTTTAGCACTTCCCTAACTTTCTCTGGAAAAAGATTCTTGTACTTTGCTTATTACAGTTATAATATAAATCCTTTTTTAATACTATTTTATGTACCAATCCACTTTTTTTACTGCGGTAATTTTTTGCCCTTACACTTTTTGTTTGACTAGTACTTGTGAAAATATATGCACCTTTGCTTCTTTTTCCAGCCTTAAAGGAGAACTTGATATACAAAACTGGATTTGTGCGCTGGAAGGCAAGTTACTTGGGATCGCGCTCTTTTTACCAATTTTGAATTTGCTTTTTTTTTTAACAGAACTCAATTCAGAAGAATTTTCTACTATTACCACATTTATGGAAAGTCTTTCGATTGATTCTCCTTCCGAGGAACGGGAAGTGAAGCATTCGGGGTCAATTATTCCCGAGTGGGTGAGCAGTATTTTCCAGCCTAAACACAATCGTTTTTAAACTACTTTGATTTTAGGTTCGTAGCGTGTTCGGCAGTATAAATTTTAGTATACAAAACACACAGCTCGACATCCTTGCACAGTCGTTTGTCCTGCTTCAGGTACTTAGCAAGAAAGAATAACGAATGTTATATTCATAATCGTACATCGTTAGCTAAAGGTGGCTAACGCCGAAGTAAATATAGTAATTCTCGGCAAAGAAGGTCAAGCTTGAATTTATTCATAATATCTGCAACACCAACTTTAGCCAGTAGATTGCCTTTCTTGTGAAATCAATGCTGCTATAGAAAAATTCTGTGTATCCATTGCGAGCGCTGACAGAGATAAAAAAGGTCATTCGTCTTCAAGTTTCATGATAATTCCTATGTTTTCAATGGCCACCTTCACGTTCCATAATTATGTCAGTCCTTCTATTTTTGGTACTACTGACGTTCTTTTTCTTCCGCATGCCACGTGATCTCGTAATAAACACAGCAGAGCACCACTTCAGCCCAGAAGCTTCGCTTTCAAGCGCTGAAACACCGAGAAAATCTAAAGGTTATGACTTTTCCATGGTTGAAGCGATATTCTTATCGGGTATTCTTTTTTTATGATTAAATATTACCCTTTTGTAAGTAAAATGCTAGAGCGTTGCAACATTATTCGACTTTCATTATTTTTTTTAAACTGTCCTAGCGTTTTCAAGGGTAGAAGAAGCATTGACGTCACTTTTAAAAAGAATACTTGAAGAAAACCGGAATAATAATAACTTTTATACGTGCCTGCGGCGCTTAAAGAATTTTAATAATAAGAAAAGAATTTCTGTTAATAAAAATACTTCCACCACCACTTTTTTAATGAAAGGGGTTCCTTGTACGCCTATAAACTTTTATTTTTTTAATGTAAAGATGTTTTTTTTCTAGGCATCTTTTCTGTACAAAATTTTCGTATCTTCTTGGAGCAAACGAAAGAAGACCAGATTTACTTTTGCAAGAATACTGAATCCGATACTTCGGGAAGGTCCACTTTTTCCCTATTATAAATCTCTTGGCTTCCAGTTTAATATGAATGAGTCAGAAGTGCCATTTTGCGCGTGGAAAAGCTCCTCGTTCTTTATAAATCTAACGAAGCCATTGCTGATTTGTCACTCTTATCTATTTCTGACTTTGCTCCTATTCCTATTGACTCGGAAACTGAACTCTTTGACTCTGTCGAGAATTCTTCAGACTTTTTTATCCTCGTGCTGCGATCCATATATCTCTCTACTAAAGACACGTGAGCTGCCATTACTTTCTCTGTGTTGTATGCTGACTACGCGTGTCTTCCTCATAAAGCAATTGTGAAGTTTGCGGCGCCGAACTATATTTTCATTTCAAGTTACCCTTCTATTTACGTGTTTGTATGGTACAATTAGAATTATTTTATTATTCTTTTAAACTGATTAGCTATTAATAGATAATAAATTCCTCCTTTCACTATTTTTTGAAGTTAAGAAAATTGGGTGCTCTCATTGGAGGAAGGACCTTTGCTGTATTTAAGAAGGTTGTCGCTTGTTTTCTTATAGGTTTTTCTTAGTCATATCTGTTTATTTCAAAATGCACCTCAGGATAAATCCTCCACACAATCCAGGGCAACCGCCACTGAAAGGGACCTTCTGACGGTAAATTGGAAAGTCGATGTTCTTGCGATCGGCTTCTCCCCCCGCCCGCCTACCGTAGTAATGCTGAAGTTTGTAAATAGCGAGGGTTGCGTTTCTTTGTTCCCTATTTACGCTGCTTCGAGTTTTCATTCGCTTTCTTAAAGGAAAACTAATGAGCGATGAGGGCTTTGAAGTTTTTGCAACTCTTGTTATCGGCGTAGTAAACAAGCATGTGATCTCGCAAATGACGAACTTCCGGGCGAAATTCATTCCGGACGACCCTAAAGTGGTGGATGCTCTCTCTAGATTTAAAGAGTATGCCGTTGCCCTGAAGCACTTGGTCGATAGTTTACTTTTTATCTCCGTGTCAGTAGCACGTCCATGCCGTCTTTTATGCCGGTCAGTAACAGTTCTCAAAGCATAGTTTTGGCGGCGGACAAACTCGCCATAATATTTCCTTTTATGTCAGTGTTGTACTAGAATATTCACTAATCCATTAACTTATTGTAAGTTACATTCAAGGTACGACTTTGGCTATATTCTGAAGGATATAATATTCGCAGTAAAGCTTATTAAAGTCAAATTTACACTTCTACTGGAGCTTTTCCACTGTGAAAGCTTTGCATTGATCCTCCAATAGGATGTGCATTTGACTTACTTTTTATTTTATTTCTTTCAGCCGCTTTTTCTCTGCCATCCACCAACCCGCAACCGCGAGGTCAGCATCCCCGGGAGTCCGCGAGAAGTAATATATGTGATTCAACACTGTAGCACGGTTGAGTATATAGAGTCACGCATTCTCGCTACGTTCTAGTAGAAGAAAATGAACCAACCACGAGCCAGAAAACATATGTGCCCCACGTTTCAGTACGGCTGGCCAGTGCAACTCTTGACCTCTCCAACGATCCCTTTGAAAGCCGCTTAGGTCACCATTTTACATACTATTATCACAACCGGCTTAATAACACACCTGGCAAAAGCTTTGATTCAAGAGCTCGGTATGGACGAGCAGGTGCAGAGGCTTCACCGTGCTGAACTCCTTTATAAGCATCTTCGCAAACTCCAAGAAAAAGTTTTTCTTAAGAAATGTCATGCATGCGGGGTTTTCAGCGTCTTTCACTGAACTCAGATCGACCTCTCACAGGCAGAGCAAGAGAGTTTTTATCGTCTGCTCGATCAGAAAAACTCGGAGTTATACCAGAAGAGGTTTCTGGCGACCCAGCACGTGGCTTCTAAAAATGTTGGTGTCGATGCCCACTGTTTATTATGAATACCTCTTCTTTACACTGACTTATAGACGCCGCTAGCAAGTATCCTTGTGGAGAATATGAAGGTGCATCTATTATCGGACGGAAATTTAGCCAATGAGGATGAGTTGGAGAACCATTTACGCTTGATCGACCCTGACAGGTCCCGCTTTGTGCTATTTTAGTACTATTAGCATCAATCAAACTCAGCTGGGTGTATAATTATATTTCAAAGCCCATTGGATTCGAGAGGCGGCTGGGATACTCTTATTGGCTTTAAGATCTGTGCACTCGCTGATTTGTTCGTCCTTCAATTCTGCGATTTTTTCAGGCCATTTTTAAAAATTCACGAGTTAAACGTAAACCGCTTTTTCTTGCTCGCTCTGCTGCTTCTCTTTAGCTTCTTCAGCTCTATGGCACTCTGATTTTTGCTGAGCTGGAGCCGTACCCCAACGGAATAACTAGACTCAGCGAGGACTTTGGCGAAGCTTTGGTGTGTGTGTTTCGGTTCCCACTATGCGTTTTAGCCACGTGTTACTTTGCTGGCTGACGTAGGGGCTTCTGTCTATCGATAAGAAGCTTGGCTTCCTCAAAGTTTATCCTGAACTTCGACTTCAGCTGGCTAAATGCGATCTTTCTCACGGCCCCGCCTTCGAGCCCACCTTGAAGCTGCTCTCTTTATTTTTGGATCATATGTTGCCTCCTCCGGAAAACTTTTCTCCACAAGTTTTACTCCAAAAACTGTTATTGGTCGATTACCTCATTATTTTATTGGCTGATGAAGCCTTTAGGTGTTTGGGATAAATTCAGGCTATTTTTGCACGGCAGAGTTTGGTTCAAGGCTTCCCTTCTAAAAGTCTTTTTGCAAGGTGCATTCATTAAAAACTTTACACATACGCTGGTATGACCAGTATTTTAAGGATCCAGAAACCCACTAGTCTGTCCCGAAGGAGTTCTTTTGCAGGGGAAAACTATTACGGTGCAGTAGTATTTAAGAGATAAACTGTTTCTTAAAAGAACGGGCGCGTCCCCCAAAGGGTTTCTTTGGAGATAGTGAGCTTAAGTTTGACGGCGATATTTCAGTAAAGCTCAATTCGCTTTCCCGTTATGATGACTGCCATCTTGCCGACTTCAAAGCGGTACTAATAACGTGTTACGGCAGGCCGTCTATTGGCCACTTTTTTATGCTGCGCTTTGAAGGTCCGCTTGAGGTTGAGCCTCCAATGGTTCTGCATTGGCGATCCTGCTGATCACCATGCCTGCCGCCCGGTGGCCCCCGAATATCAGAAGACAGCGCCTGTACTATTGACTGAAAATGGTCTTGGGCCGCTATTATTTGACATCCGTTTTATTGCAGTTCGACACCTTCAAGTACTTTCGAGCCAACGGAATCGGAATAAAAATAACTGTAGCTTCTCATGAAAATACTGAACTTCAGTTGTACTCTAGTAATTTTGAATTCCTTGATCGCTTTAAATGGGTGATGATTGACTTCTCTATAATTATACTTTTCGGCCTTTATTCACTGTTTTTTTACCAGATCTTCGCTAGGGAATGTTTGCCGATTCGCAGTGTAGCTATGCTTGGGGAAAGGCTACCGCCAACTAGAAAAATCAGCAGCTTACTTACCAGTGTACTTTCCTCTAAGTTCATAGCAAATAAGTAATTATATTATACATTATATATTTAGTTTGATATTGAGCTCCAAGTTCAACGCCTTCGTTTCCAGGTTTGGTCTGATTCGCAGCGCAGTACGGGTAGGCGTTTACCTGTCCTCTAAGAATTCTTTACTTCTTTCCTCTTATTGGTTCATATCCTCAGGGGCCAGCCTTTGCACTTTTGACTTTTATCAGAAACTCTCGTTACACCGTTTGACCACGCCGGTGCTGAAGGTAGACGTGCCCTTTCTTTTTTTTTTAGTTACTCTAAAAACATTAAAACTCCGTTACTGGGTCAATAGAAAGATAGAGCAACCAAAGAGGAACCTCCAAAGGAGAAAAGCATATTAAAGCGAAAAGATACGTCGCCCACTGTGAAACAAAAAGAGGCTGTAAAGAAGGTCGTTGTATTCCGCGTTACATCGTAGCACTCTTTTCTTACCTCGTTAGGTCTCCTTGAGCACGATGGGCAAAGCCTACGGATTTACGAAAAGGGTTACAGATCTTTTAATTATAGTTTGGGCATTCAGTACAATTACTACTCACTCCACAGCTGAGTCAGCATTTTCAAAGCCTTATAACAAGTGCCAGCGAATCTACCGCGGAAAGCAATGAGTTTAAAACTTCCAGCGCGAAACTGGATCAGGCCGCTATTGCTACACAGCTAAAGCCGAAGCACAAAAAAAAAGCAATCACTATTAAAACTGCTAAATCGTTTCTGGGGACTCTCAAGAAAAACTTGAAAAACGAGGGTGATGCCAACCAGGAAGACCCGCATGAACAGGACGGATCCGTTCAAAGCGCTGACGACCCTTATGAGTTTGAATACGAGACAGCAGCGCAGCAAGGGAGAACCGAAAGCGATGCACTGATTGATTATGAGGAGGGGTATAACTTCGGGGGCGCCAAACTACCGGAGGAGGAATACGAATCTAAGGATTGCAAGAAGCCGAGTTTACCGGAGGACCCACCGTTGAAGAACCCTAATATCTGGCGGGTGTCCTTCTTCCTTTCTTACTATTGGCTACTGTCCCTAATATTTGCAACTGAAAGGTTCAATGCGCCAATGTCAAACTATGCAAGGTGGAGCTTCGACTTTTAACGGGCATCAAAGAGAGTATCGTTATTAGAGCACTTTTTTTTATCATGCCCTCCAATACGCTCTTCTCATGCAGATAGTCGCCCTATACTAAAGGACGCATCGGGCTTCTCCCAAGCAATCAGCTGCGGGGCGATCGAGTATTTCCGGCAAACCAACGACCCACTCGACTACTTGCACAGGGTCAGCTTTACTTAGAAGTTCTTTGCTGACGGCTTGATAATAACGTTGGCCGGGGCTCTGGCGGGTAGATAACTGTCGATTCGCTGAGGGGTACATGGACGCTTACGCACTTCGAGTTTGTACTGAGCTCCATCAACACGCTTCGGTCGGCCCTTCAGCTGCGCAAAGCATGTTTTTCATGCTCTTTATCTTGTTTCCCCCTCATTTTTCTTGTTTTCAGGATATGTCTTCTGATTTTCTGTCCAGCTGCGGTCAAGACTACATTCAGGACCTCATTAGCTACCAAAGAGAAAGCAGGCACTTGTTTTACTGACTGACACATGCAATGCTTTTTATAGTGATTGCAACGGGCGACTACAAGGTTCATTCGAGCGGCGGGCCTGCAAGACTCTTCAATGGAGCTCGATGAAACTGCATGTGCTCTGATCAAGCAGCTTTTGCAGGATGACAAAGCGGTCGTTGCCGATACGACTGAAGATAAAGAATGTTATTATGCCTTGCTCTTCTACGTGAGTCTTCCTAAAACCGTTTTTTGGACGACTAAAGTCGATGGAGGCGAAGATTCGGGAGACATCTCGTATCGTTCCTTCCTAGTGGAAGTGAGAAATGCCCAAGTTAATTTTATTGGTGAGTTTTCTCTCCGTTCCTCTGAAGGCAGGAATGCTATCATTTATTACTTCTTAGGCGAAGAAACAGTGCAAGAAGGATGCGTTGTTCTATCAATTCCCAGCGGAAGAATGATAAAATACTTGGGGTCGGGCGGCCGCCGCTTCTAAGCTTTAGACCTTTTCTTCATTCCTTATTTTTGTGTAGATACCCTTTCAAAAATGAAAGCGACGAAGTATACGTTCCTTCCCACTTCAAGCTAAACGTCGTTAATCTTCAAACATACGTACATTGTTTGGGCTTCCACTCTGCTTAAGCTTTCTTACTTTTTGATAGGTCGCTACTGGGCCCCTAAACGAGCCCCGCTCTCTCTTTAAAGGTTTGCTGGAAACAGAAAGGAATATCGAAAGGTGCTTTTCACTATTTTTAAAACAACTCTAGCCAATGAATGCTATTTTTTTAGAGTCATAAAGGAATGTAGCGCTGAATTTCGAATTTCCTCTGTGGTCGAAATTCACGAGGTGGTGTTTCCATGGATTTTTTTATATTCCTTGAAGTCAACCCTCGTGCTTGCATCTTCGCAGGACCAGCACGTGGCTGACATTGTCAAAAGCGTGTCAAAAATACCTGTTGACTCTGGAAGTGTCATTAGTAAAAACCCCGGCGCCATGTCTATGTCCCTCGAGTGTCCTCTGGTTGCTGCCTTTGGGTGTTCGCCGCATTCGGCATGCGGCTTAAGTTACTTTTCCGCCTTTCAGGTCGACATTACGACGGACAGCAGGCAGTACTCCATCATTACTGACGTTATTCGAAGCCTTCTTGCTAGAAATGAAACAGAAGTTGAAAAGTTTTCTTTAATAGTTTTCTTTTGTCTGTATTCCTGTTAATTTCTCTTTTAAGAATACGTCAAGATTTCGAATATAAACTCCAGCTGGCCAACGTGGCGGATTATAAATCGATGATTCTCAGAATGCAGAATACTCTTCGTAAAGTTAAGCTCAGAATCAACGAGCTCGAGTATTTTTATTATCTTAGCGCTGACGAGAAGGCGCCGAGGTACCTCGTGGTTACGATAAGTTTTTTTCTCACTTACAACTCCGAACACTTTGCCAGAGCGAAGTTTGACCAATCAGAGATAGCAGAGCTTCAATTAGAGCTCAAAAAACAAAAGGTTTTATTTGGTTAGGCCGCCCTCTGCCGCTCTGTTCTCTAACGCTTTGTGCCCACGCAGGAGTACGTCAAGTTCGCGAGGGTGCAATTGAGGTGCCTCGTGGGTAATGCCACTATCATTCCATCGTGACCGCTCGGCTTGACTTACGGAATTTTCTTTGTCTATACCACAAGCTCACTATAAAAAGCGCACCTTTAAAGACAAGCGCCTTCGTCATCTCTCTTTACATAAGCGTTCTGTGGTGATCGTGCAGCACATAGAAATAGGTTACTTCGCACGGGAACATTTCTATAAAGTTTTCCATGTACCGACCACGTGGTTACAGGCATTGACTCCCTTATTTGGTTCTTAAAGGGCCAGATCCCCCAAGAAGTCCTTGAAGTTTCGATGGGCCACTTATTTTACCAGCAAGTACATCATTTCTTTATATCCATCCGCTTTCTGTAAAATCATTACAACGGTGCTCGTAAATATTTGTCTCTGCTTTTCAAGATCGCCTATACGGACGACTCTACCGCTTTTACTTTTACGGGCCAATACCTGAATGTTACCAACAAAATCCCAAATGATTTTTATTTGAACGTAATCGAAAGCTTCCATAACACGGACACGAGGCGAAAGGTGGTGATCATCGACTTTTTTGTGGTTAAAAATAAAACACTCTGCCACAACACATGCTGCAAGATTCCCGTTTTTGATAGAAACTTAGTGTTTCGGGTCTACCAGCGTGCCAAGCAACCCGTGGCCGGTATTGATGTCCGAGAGCACTTTGAAGTAAATCTCGGTGGGCTGACTTTTACAGCAGCTTTTTATTTAACGAATGACGCTGATTATGGTTAATACAAAAGCTCCTTTGTCCATTCAAGTCACCAATAAGCTGTACAAGTTTCTTTTTGATTTTTTCTTTCCTGGAAGGTCGGGCGATCCTCTCTAGTGGCTCCTTTTTTTCAATATTTAAAATTTATTTTGGTAGATTTGAAGAAATTCCACCCGTAAGACCTCTTTTAAGCGAGGGCGTGCACAGCGATAAAGTTCGCATACCTGCTTTTTCTTGTTTTCAAAGCCTTTGGTTATCGCGGTTTAAATATATTTTTCTAAAAAAAACCCCCCAAAGGACGTGAATGCCCCTCCATGGGCTCTCTTTGCGAGTGAGGTACATAATTCCAGTAGTACTATTACGACTTGTATCAATTTTCGTTTACTTTATTTTTCCTGCCCCTAGCTTGAACTTGAACCTTCGTTGACTTCTCTCAGAAGCAAAAAGTCTACAAAAGCGAAGCATCTTAACTTTAGACGGGCCCAAACCGATAAGCTTATTTCCTGGGAAACCAGAGATGAAGGTCTGGAGCTTGCAGACCTTAGAGAGATATCTTCCACGAGGAGCGTAGATGACGTTTCGATAACCTTGCTTACTAATAATAAAGCGCACATCACGTCTTTCGAAGCGAGCCCTTCAGTATATTATTATATCTATATAAACATCCCAACGCTATATAATATAAAAACTCTTATAGATAAGCACAAGAAAGTTGCTCACTTCCGGCTCAGACTATTTCCTACGCAGAGGAGGTGTTAATCTTTATAGACATTCCAAGTTATCTTAAATATTCCCTCGTTGGAAGGATTCTCTGCCCCGAGCAATACTGCTGTAGAAGAGAGGAAGGCGTAAATGATTTTTTCAATGCTCTATTTGCGAACCTCTAAAGTATCGCATTACCGCCAACAGTGCAGCTAAAGAGACCCAATCTGCTCATCCTCCTTCTCAAGGACCACCTTCTTTGAAACGGACAACCAGCCGGTCGAACGTTTTTAAAGAAGCAGACACTTCTGAAAAGTCCAAAGAGGTAGAGCTGCTTCCGTCTTGTATGTTTAAAAATATTACCATAATTCTATTATTTTTCCTTTTCATATTTAAAGGTTGATACTATTGAGAAAATGAAAGACAGAGCCGAAAAAAATATAACATTCTTGTAAGTGTTCTTAAGTGGGTAGCATGCTTGCTTAGGCGTTAATCAATTATCACGAGGTACATAAAACTCACGCAGGTACAGTTACGTGTAAGCTATAAGGCCAATGAAAAACACATATTGAACTGCGAGGGGTTCGTTTTCAACATACCCTCCTTGGAATATCACGAGCACACGTGGACCTGGCTGGATCTGTTTATGCAGATAAAGAAAGACTGCATTAAACTTCTGCTTCAGCAGCTTATAGTGCAAAAGTTTGCGGTTAAAAATACCGCAAAAGAGAAGTGTGAGTTTTTAGTGAAGAAATATTCCAGACTATTTAGTTTTCTATCCTTTACAATTTTTTTAGGGACACTGATTTTTATTTACTTTAATTTATTATAAGCAACCCATAATGACACGCTTTCCCTTATTTAGCCGCGAGCGTTGAGGGTTCCTCCGCGAGTGAGAAGGAAAAACTTGACTACGAAAAAGCCCAAAAGCTGTTAGGATTGTCCAGGCACAGAGCTGCGCATAGCAGGACATCTCCCGTGGTAAAGACTTAGCGAAATACATGCACCAATTTTAGCGTTAGTAAGCACGTGAATACACAAGCGTACCTGTAAAACATGCGAGCTTTAGTTGATCGTCTGCTTTATGCTTTACTTTGAGAGTCCTGTTTTTTTATAAATATGCTTATGATCTAGCGGATACCTTCTGACCTTTCAGAGCGCGCTGAAACGGACAACAGTGAGGTTCATTGTTTTTACAGCTTAATGCTACACCAACTCTCGTAACAACTTCCCCTCTTCTGAAGACCAATGATTCAGAATCTTTGGACTATTGTTATCCGCTAAATGAACAAGACGAACAACTGGAGCGTGTTGAGGGGAGTGAAAAGCAGAAACACCCAAAATCTCCCTTGGCTTCTTTTTTAAGTAAATTAAAGTCTTCCTCCAATAAGACCGGAACACGAGCTCTTGATTCAAAAAAAGACAAAAAATAAAAATAAAGTGCTTATTTGACCTTTTTTCATAAATATCGAGTGCAAAAGATTCTGGAGGTAGAAATTTTGATGGGGCGTAAAATTTGTAAGTAAAAATATAGCACTTCCACGTGCTAATATAGTGAAAACGGTCCCACAAGGACAAAAATCTCATTTAAACTTTCAAAATTTCTTTATACATTAAAACTGGACAACAGTATAAGCTAATGAGTTTACTTACCAGCAAAGAGTGTCATAGTAACAATAAATTAACTTTATTTCTACTAGCAATATAAAAAAAAGGATTGTAGCGACTTCCATGTTCCAAAAAATAAGAGCGAAGGAGCGGTCGCTGATATTTTTCTGCTACGACCTTACAGGAAACTATAACTCCACATGCATTACATCATGATCCTGGGTTACACATTGTTCTTGACCTTCCCTAATTTCGGCAGACACCTCCAGTTCTTCCTCAGCTTGATTCGAAAGTAGATTTTTCTCCAAATCGGTAGAGGAAGCTAAAATAGTGTGAAATTGCTTTCTTCTTTCACTAAACTTTTTATCAATATCCTTTTTTTGATGCTTCAAGGAAGTAAGCTTTTCTTGAATTTGACTTATCTTCCTTGTAGAATATAAATAAAACTTTAAAGCCGATAGCAAAAGAAAAGAATAATGCAAGCTTCTACTGTGTGGTTTCTTCACGGGATGGATACTCGTTAACAGCACTAAGCATCATGTCGTACTGAACACGGTTGGCTCTTTTTTGTCTGGCCTTCTTCAAATCATCAGATAAAACGTAAATTTCTTTTTTGACCGCAGAAATTTCATCAACTTAACGTAATAGTGCAGTAAAATATTTTTAAAAATAAACTATTAAACTGAATATAAACCTAAAAGAGCATCATAAGATTCTAAGTCTTGGAGTTCCCTAATGTGCATCTTGCGCATTAAATCTTGTTTTCTAACAGAGAAGACCAGCTCCGGTATAGAACTTAGTAATTTCACGTAAATTTCATCCCTCACAAAAAGTAAATAATAAAGGTATTTAAAATTTATTGTGGAAAGTAGGCAAAAGAGCACCTTTCTTCGGAATTACTAGCAATAAACTCTTGAAAAAGACGAACTATAATATGAAAACGCCTGTCTTCCTCAAAAAATCTTTCCTTCAAAATATTTACTAAAAAATGTTGTAAACAAAAAAATGTGGTTTCAATAAAGAGAAAGAATAACTAAAACCTTCGCTACTTAAAGACATTTGTTTCTGCTAACACTTTACTAAAAAACCTTTCAGCAACCTTTCAAGCTCAGGCACGAGTTAAACATACCCTAATACGCTCAAGACAAACATGGGCACGTAGTTATCAATTGTGGTGACCTCTGGAAAAATAGCTAGGAAACTAAGAAAGCTATTTACTCTTATACTACTAAGTAAACCATGATTAAAGGTTATAAAAAACTGCTTTATTTAAATAATTTGGATTTTTTAACTCTAAACGTTTTTTGCTTTTTCAGAACTTACTATTTTATGTTACGCTTGGTGTAGACATTTTTTTAAGTGATTTATATCTAAGCGATTACAACAAACTTAAATTCGCCCAGAGGGTTTTTTTTTCTTAACCGGTTTGATACCTGTTTTATGCATATACTCTTCCACGTTCTTGTTGTAAGTGGGCACTTGCTAATTGTGTTTAAAACTTGCGGGAAGAAACTACGCAAGGTTGCTTGCTTTATTATAAATTAGCTCGCTTTCCTAGAATTAAAGATAAGTAGGGGACTGCTACCTCCTAAGTTTAAAGCATTCTACACTAGAATATGCCTTTAATATTAATTTTGAAATATGACTTATAACCTATAATCAAGTAGCCTTCTTTTTGAACAGCTTTATTTTAATTCTGCTCTTGCCAGTAATTTTTACATCTGTTTTAGTATTATTAATTGCTCTCCATATCCCTTTCTCGCCATTTTCTCTTGCGAAAGTTTGTGTATGAGGGTTAAGGTTAGGGTAAGGCCAATGATATTTATATAATTCAGGCAACTAAAAGTTTAATTAGTTTTTCTTACGACTCTTGATTTTTTTTGCTATTCTTCAAAAATAACTTAAAATCTTTCGAGTATCGAATTTTTAAAGTTTTTATAAGGACAGAAAAAGTATATATTAAGTTGTGTAATTTCGTGTATATTAAAACTCGAAAATTAAGTTCAGTAACTTTTTTGGAAATTATTCAAACAAATTCAATAATAAAGTAAAGAACCAATTTAAATTAAAAAAAATTGTTGAAATAAATTTTTAATAGTTAATAATTATTAAAATAACTATATGCGCAAAAAATTATATAAAAAGAAGTCAACTCGCTATGTTTGGGTACAGTTTTCTTGTGGATGTGCAGGTCACTGTCGTCTTATAGGATATTTACCTTTCTATGACAAGCAAGAAGCTTAATAAAGTGTCGAGTTTAAACACCTCTGCACGCCGGGCAATGAAATGGAGGTACCAAAAACATTTTTTCTGTTCTTTACGACCTGGAACAAGTTTTACGTGCAGCGTTAAAGCTGACGTCCACTTTACTAAGATTGCCTTTGCCAACTTCAAGGGCTCCAACACAACTGCCTGCCTGGTAAGCTATCGGTCCCTCACCCAAGTGGTCATGGCGATCGCAATGCACAAAAGACAAACTGAAAATTAAATCTAGTACGACTTCATAGCACTGCATAATAAGTGACTTATGAAAGTATAATAAATATTATTAAACCCTAAGAAATTATATATCGTATATTAAACTATTCCTGTACAATACTACACACAAGAAAGACCCAGTCCGAACGGGTAATCCGGAACCACAGGAGAGAGAAAAGAGAAAGGCAAAAGGCTCAGCCTTCATTTAAATTTATTACCTTTAACCCTCACTTTCCTCCCGATGTAATTTATTTTCCCCATTTACTGTTTAATTGCAAATAATAAATTAAATATATCGCTCTTTAAGTCTCTCTCTGAGCGCTACATTAATCTGCGGTACCTTCAAAAGTCGGAACGAAGTAATAATAAGTGAACTTTTCGGGTGCAAAAGTTTACTCTTGCTCTCGTAGTATAGAATTATACTGCTCAACCTCTTCATCAGTAAGAACTTTAAAAGGGTCTAAACTCTTTCCTCATAAAATCCATCCGCCCAGCCATGATAGAAGCTGCTTGACCAAGTCATGTGCCTTTCCTTCCGTTTTAATAACAGGGACAGAAACTTCTCTTTTTCCTCAACAGGTAAACTGGGACAATTAAAAAACTGAGCCGCATAAATATTGTTTCCTAAGCGTCCCCTCCTAATATCCTGTAATTACAATTGCTGGGATCCCCTTCACTAACTTAAGCGGATTACGATGACAAGTTTTATCTCCTCCATCCCGCCGAATCCTAAATTTGCTTTGTCCAAGAACAAGAACGTCTGGTGTGGTAGCAGGGCCGTCCCAATGCTCTTAATGTAATCTATTAACTTCCTTTTAAAAAAGGTTCACTGTTTCACCTACTTTAAGATCTTCAGTTTAACCGATCGAAACCTTTCATTTTTTTGTCCATCTTTTGCTGCTTTTCCGCCAATAGCTTTTTCATATCATACACCTCCTCCCAATTTAGCCAGCCTTTGAAAATGCACAATTTTAAGCATCAACCAGCTCCATCCCTTTCCAAGTTTTCACTGTAAACTAGCCGTGTGTAGCATTTTCTTTAAACAGCATACAATAGGGGTTAACCCCTAAAGCATTCCGAATCCTGGTTTAACAGTAAATATAATTCGTCTAACAATTCTTTTCAATCTTTTTTACTCTCATACCAGTTTTTCATTAAGCCCCTTTTTAATTTTTATATGATCCTTTCACCATGCCATTAGCTTGAATAGTTGACGGTGCCAAATACTATACTTTCGTCTCAAAAACTACTTCCCCTCTCTGCGATGAAAGATTGCCTCCTTATCCATAATATTATTAGAAGGTCGTCTTAATTTAAATACTTCTCTTAGCTCTCTAACTATCAGCTCCGCATTTAACTTTTATAAGCCCGAGTCCATGCAAATCCAGAATACCTATCAAGTATAATACTCTCTTCCTACTTTTAGGCATTAAAAAACTTCCGCAGCCATAAGTGCTACGGACTCTTTAGATATTTCCCTGAACCCTTAGCCCTCACTTCTCTGTGGTAAACATCCAGAAAAAGTCTAAAGTGGGCAGCCAAGCCGAACGGTAACTCGGAAGTATGGGGTAAAATTTTGTTCCACCTTTTGGTTCTATTCGAGAATCGCCAGCATGGGCCATGACGCGCCATGGCCCCTCCGGTATACCACGGCGATATGGCATCCGATAACGACCAAGATTAAAGTCATTCTTCGCCGATTATCTCGCTGCCAAGTGCACCTAGAGGAATTAATTAATAGTCCAAAGGAGCTTACTAATAACAATATCAGGAAGGGCAGATAATACATAAAACAAACACAAATGCTCTACTTCTCTAGCACTCAGACAAACTCGACCAGAAACAAAATGGCTTGCTACCACGTGAATGGAGCCATAACTTAATTTTTTGGGCTTGTTGAGAATATCGTTTTAGCAACGTACACTGATATGCTCATTCTCCTGGAAACTCCAGCTGGTTTCGCCCTTTTTAAAGTTTTAAAGGAAGGAAAGCTAAGCAAACCTAAAGATTTATGGAAATCTTTTACTACAGTGGAGAAAGCCAATGAATTGTCCTTCTCCTTTTTCTGTTATTTTATCGAGTTTTACTTATCTTTATACAAACCAGCGTTAAACTTCTTGACTTTCATAAATTTCGAGATACAGTTGAGGCGCTTGCTAATTCTACTGCTATTGTTGAGGGAAAGGTTAGTAGTGATTTAGATACTTTTTTAAGAAAATGGGTTAAAAAAGGCAAAGTTGATGTTCTTGGAGTTGCTGATGCCAAGTTTGCTGGTGGGCCAATTACTTGTTAGTTAGGGAGTACTTTTATTTTCTTTTTTTTCTAAATAGGATCTCTTAAAGAAAAGTTGGGTATCTCTTGTTCCACCGAAGAATCCGTTAAAGAAGTTTTACGTGGAATAAGAGGTCAAGTAACTTCGTTAATTTCTGGAATGCCTGATGGTAATAAGACGACTTTTTGTTACGAAAATGGTTTACATTATAATAAGTTAAGTAAATTTTATGGTATTAGCCTTTATTTTTAGCTCTTACTAAGCAACATTATGAGTCGTATACTCTTTATTAGCAAACCTTTTTTCATTTTAATGCCCCACTTTCTACTCTCTTGTTTCTACATTATTAATTGTTTTCTACGTTTTGTCCATCGCGATTGTTAGCTGATTTTCGCGCAATGAATCTTGGTCTAGCCCACTCGCTTTCTCGTTATAAATTGAAGTTTTCACCGGAGAAAGTGGACACCATGATAATCCAGTCTATCAATCTTTTAGATGATCTCGACAAAGAGCTCAATACTTGTTCAATGCGGGCTAGAGAATGGTGACTTTTAATTATATCTTGCTAGTTTTCTCCGTGACTCATACGGATTGTTTTTCAGGTACGGGCTGCACTTCCCAGAGTGTTCTAAGCTTATACCCGACAACGTTGCTTTTGCACGGAGCGTTCTTACAATGAGAACTCGTTGTAACGCTTCTTCGGTGGACCTCTCCGACATTCTACCCGAAGAGGTTGAAGAAGAAGTAAAGCGGGCGGCAGAAATTTCAATGGGCTCCGACATAAGCGGAGAAGGTACCTTAAGATTTGTCTCAGTCGAGTATGGATTTACTTTTTTTAATAGATATTAACAACATTTGTGCACTTTGCGAGCAAGTTGTGAATCTAAGCGAGTACAGGGCGCAGCTCTTTGACTACCTCCGGAACAGAATGAATGCCGTAGCACCAAATCTTACCGTGATGGTGGGGGAACTAGTAGGCGCTCGGTTAATTGCCCACGCTGGCTCCTTGCTTAATCTGGCGAAGTGCCCGGCATCCACCGTTCAGATTCTGGGCGCTGAAAAGGCTTTGTTCCGTGCTCTGAAAAATAAGTCTAATACTCCCAAGTATGGGCTTATCTATCACGCTTCGTTAGTGGGCCAGTCCGCCCCAAAGCATAAAGGAAAAGTATTTTTTTTTGATTTCAGTTATAATTATTTACTGATTTTCATTCTTGAGATATCGCGAGTGCTTGCAGCGAAGACTGCTCTATCTATTCGCTGTGACGCCCTTGGAGAGGTGGAGGATAATTCAGTTGGTATTGCAAATAGACTGAAAGTGGAGTCGCGGCTCTCACAGCTGGAAGGAAGGCCGGTTAAGTTATCTGGGCTTGGAAAGTCCCTTGCTCAAGCTGAAAAGTATGAACCAAAGTAAGCGCGGCGGGATCGCATTATAATTTCATCGTAGTTACGTTGTGTTGTTCTTTCAGGCCTGTTTCTTTATACAATCCAGCCACTGACTCCACGGTGGGGATCTTAAAAAAAAGGAAAAAAACTGCGAAAGGTCAATCAAAAAAAATAAAGCACACTGAAGTTGCCGAGCTTGAGAGCGTAACAGAGACCATTCGCAAAGACGAATCTATAGAGCTCGGAAGGAAGCATAAGAAGTCTAAGAAGGAAAAGAAGGAAAAGAAAAGTAAAATTACTAAAGTTAATATTCAGGAAATTAGCACTGATATTCCCACATCCTCAAAGAAGTCAAAAAAATCTAAAAAGGTAATTTTACTAATTATTTGTTTTTCCCCTGCCTCCTCTACTTTTTTGTAACACAGAAGCAGAAAGAATATTAAGATTGGCAAATATTTTTGCAAGTAATTGGAAAATCTTGTAATTTTTTGTTTGTATATGAAGTTATTATAAATGCGGAGGAATTGTTTTTAGAGAGATTTGACGTCCAGGCAAGTCCTAAAAACGTATTGGGTTTTATAAAAGATTTATTATAATAAAGACAGCATAAAAGTTTTAATGGTGCAAATAACTGCAGAGAATTAGCGTCAGCTTAATGCTTTATTCTTTTTGTAGTAATAGTTTTCTCGTAATTCCGTCCCAAAATTCGAGGAACAAAAGAAAACAAGTTATTAAGTTCTTCTTCTGTGGCCTTTCCGCTTGCTTTCCATCTTATCCTACCTTTCTTATCCGTTAAAAATATATAGTTAAAGCAGGGATTTCTGATAAAAAGTGCTTCCAACAAAGTTCCTGGAGATTCTACTATAAAATTTTTCTAATTTAAAGAATTAAATTTAGAATAAAAAGAATTTTGGTGATTTAAAATGTTTTGGCTAATTTTTATTAAAAAAAACATACAACTACGCCGAGCAAATTTAAGTTTGGTGGCTCGCAAACGAAACAAATAATATTTAGATAGTCAAAAGCAGTAGGGAAACCTTTCTATTAATAGGCATTTCAACCTTGAAAAAGTGCTTAAAAAGGGGTAAAAATACACGCCAGTAGCCTTGAACCAAAGAAAGCTTTATAAAAAAGTAAGGGTTTCAAGTTTTTTTAAAAAAAAAAGGTAAACTTTGCCTCATAAAGGGTTACTTCCTCATCTTCGCCAAATTCTTCCCAAAAGGGTCACAAAAAGACTTGGAAAGTGGCTGTAATACAAAGAAGTACATATACAAACTATATTACAACTTTAATAAAGAAAAACTTTCCATGGATATATCCCTGCTGACAATAGATAATAAGCTACACTTTCCTTTTAAAAGATCGGGAAAAACAATTTTTTTTCCTGTAATCGACTTAGCTTCAAACTTTGGAAAGAGAGGAGCTTCCTATTATTACAAACGTTACGGGTTACTCGTGCCCATCTTAAGTTAATGTTACCACAAATATTTATAAAAGAAGTCCGCTTTGACAGTTCGATACAAAAGGACTACTTTTATAATAAGGCAACTTTCATAACTAAATTTTAAATTTTATACAGAGTTATTAAACACTTAAACCATACCACGGAGTTAATAAGGTCCTTTTCGGCGCTAAATAGCTTTCCTTTAGTTTTCTGATATTCTAAAGAATTCTATGAACTACTGAAAAGTTGAGAAGTGAATAAAAAAAATTACCTTTTACATCGCCAAAAAAACCCCACTTAATTTCTTCTCTTCTAGATTAAAAATTTTTTTTAGAAATACTTAACAAGTATAATATAATATGTAAGGTAGTAAAATAATTCACAGTTTTCGTCTTTTAGCTTCCTGTTGTTTCATGTTAAAATAATATAACTGTTTAGAAGTAGCAAACTTTCGAAAGAAAGTTTTGAATTGCAAACGCACTAAAAACATTAAAATAAATAAACAGAGAAAGGTAAAAACTTCAAATTAAAAAAATATACAACCCACTAAAGTTATGCTCATTACTAACAAAGGTCACTTAAAATTCTTTTCCTTAATTATAATTAGGGATTCGTTAAGACCTCTACACAAATTTGTTAATCTTTTTCTACAGGGGTCGCGTAGTGACATTGGTGTTTTTGAGGGGAGTGTGGTTTGAAGTAAAAAGAGGATGTTTATGGGGGAGTATGCTACTAATTGTCTTGTAAAAATGCCCAGAAGAAAAATCTAACTATATCTATATATCTAAGGATTGAGCAATAAAAAGAATATGATAGGAAAAAGAGCATTCAAATAGTAAAAAAAATTATATAACCTATTAAAATTTTTTGGGTGTCCATTTTGCCTTACAATATACTAAACGTATGCCTAGATGACTATGATAGTCCTGATAAACTTTGAAACATAGTTAGTACCACTTACAGATAAAATGTTTTTAATGTCACCTTTAGAGAAATTTGGCACACGAGCTCTACTGTCCCCCTTTTAGGTAACTGGTAAAACTGGCACCTCTATAACACTAAGAATTAAGTAATAATCTGACCTTTCATACGTAGAACTAATGAAAGAAAAAAATTGTAAAAAAAATATATAATTATAATAGTAATAGAAAGATTCATATAAACTTCAAGCTATACAGGTAAACATATGCCACTGAGATTTTAAATAATCCTATTAAGTACAAGAAGACTTAAGGAGACTAGTTTGGCAGTAATAGGCTTCTTCCCGGAAGACCTGGCTATTTAAGCAATTTTTCTCCCTCAGACGGGGTATAAATCGAAAATTTCTTAGTAACACGATATGAAGATAGTCTTATCAAGGTCAAGGAGCTAGTTCATGCGATTACCAAAAAACTAAAATTAGTAGGGTGTTTATTAATTATTTAATAATGGTGTTTCCTCGGTTTTTTGCAAATGTTTTATTTTAGCGTAACTTAAATTAAATTTCTTATTGAACTTTAATATTTATAATTTTAAACTTAATTTCAGTTAGATTTATAAATCTTGAGTACATCAAGAAGACGTCAATAAAGTCCGCTATCTCATGGTGATTGGTTTTAATGAATTTAAATTTTTATAATTTTAGAGTCGCGTCAGTATTCTGAAAACTGTGAAGCAGATATCGATGTTAATAATAGCAGCAATGGGCTCCACTGCCAACAAGCTGTTAGTTGGAGATCTTCACGCAAAGCATAGTTTCGTACAGGCTAAGGCGCACGTTTTATTTCACTTAACGCGAGGAGGGTACTACGCGTCACTTGATGAACGACACCGTTCTAAACTTTTCCACCTTACAGCCCACGTGCCGCTCCTATGACAAATTATTGTTACTGTTGGCCCCTATATATTTCTCTTAAACATGTCAGGAGGGAGGAGAGAGTTACATAACAATTTAAAGCTCAGTGACAGTGGAAAAAAAGGGCATTTTCCGTAAAATAAGGGTATTCTTTTTTTATGCGCTTTAATTAATTTTTCATAGGTGATACGAGTCAATTGCGGGTAGATAGCACGGCAGATACTTAACAGCGGGGGACCGGTGTAAGGTTTGTGCGGTTAAAGCAAGAAGCAAGGGGGACAAAAGAGACCGTAACTGAACCTCCGCCGCTTGTAGTTTAAGGGGCAATTATGCTAAAGAAGCGAACCTTCTATTCGAGGTAACTCTAAAAATTACATTCTTAAAGCACGTCGTACATGCAGCATGAGTCTGTACCACTTGCTTATACCTCACCTCTGTTTTTGTATAACTCCCTTGAAGGTATATATACCCTTCCTCTTCGGGACAAGAAAATGATTGCTCCTCTTCTTTTTCTACGTCACCTTGTAGAGCTTTGAGCAAATCAAAGTTGTCTCAGGAGATCGCACGCTTTCTCTTACTAACGTTCTTAATTTTTTTTTCCGACATTGGGTACCGTTCTTGTGTGACCGCTTCACCACTTCATAGTTATTATGTTCTCTGTCCAGCTTTACGGTATGCATTATGGAGAGGTAATAACTTGGGTGGAAAATGCGATAACATTTCTGCGATTATATTATCCTTTCACGAATATATCTAGGCGCCCATTATACAACTCGTTACATGTTTCTGTTAATCCTTTTTTCTCTGACCGTTATAGCATCAAGTTCATTTTCAAATTTCCCATTAAATTCTTATGATCTGTCTCTATTAGTAAAGTTTTAACACTTAGTTATATATACTTCATTAAAATGTTAGTACATCAGGCTATCGCCAATACTTTCGGTCTGTCTCACTATATTTTTTTGGGATTCCGTAAGTTTAGTACTAAAATATGTAATGTAATGCACCCGCCTGTTATATCTTTGAAATAAAACACCAGAAATACCTATATCACTAGCGTATTTTTTCAAAAGTAATTCGTACTTATTATATATGTATATAACATATGAGCCTTTATCTAATAATTGCATTACCTTATTTCATGCGACCTCTTGCTAGTCACCCCATATAACTTAACTTTCTTCTTCAGCAACCTACCGAGCGACTTAGTTATAATAGCATAGGTTGCACCAATCAAGAAGATAAAAAACAATAAAATCTATGTTTGTTCTCAGGTTTCAATATGTTTTTAAGGCTTAAACGCGCTATTTTAACAATCGCACTCCCGTGGACGCTAATTTAGCTAAGATACATTCTTCTAGGCGAATTTTGACGTAAAATTTTTTTATACCGTTCAATTAAATAACATAATATTCGATAGTGCTTTTCTTCGATTCACTGGCAACTAAACATTAGTTTATACAAGTACAAGAGTCCTCCAACCCAGCGGTAATTATGTCCAATACCCTTTTGATATTCGAAAGGGACATTGATATAACCAAAAGGTATTACCATCCAGTCAGGTGGTTGGGTTGGTATTCAAGTTTATATATCATCGCGGCGTCTGGTAAGCTAAAGTTACAGCTCGTTGAAATTAGGTAACAACAATATTTAGAGGTCAGAATAAAAGTCGTGTATGAAGGTCACCTCTCGAAAAACTCGGCGAATTTGGCCCTGTCCGTAATATATTTAGACTAGTCTCCTTTGCACTCTTTCCTTTGTTCATCCTCAGAAAAAGTAGCAGGTGGCCCACTCCCGCTTTTAGCCCTTCTTATCTTTCTTTTTAGCGTTGTGATAGCCTGCGTACCTCAGTGAAAGTTTTCGTGTGCGATCGTTTGATTTTTGGTAAAGTTGTTGCAAGCGGGGTGCCTGCTAAGTTTTTGCATGGAAAAGCTGAAGGATGTTTATTAGAAGGACAGTTAAGGAATAAGTTCCTTTAACAGTTTGCCAAGGGCCTCATAAGCTGCAGCTACAACCACGAGCTCCTGTCCGATAGTCCTAGAGGAGGGAAACCCTGCTTGGTTTGATGAAACTACTGCGCCTCCACCGAACTCTATGGAGTCGTTTCCGGGTTACCTGTCGAATTGTTGCTAAGATTAAATGGAACACTGGAAAGATAAGATTCTCGTAAATGACCCATAAATCGTTGCGTTAACTAATGCAGTTCATTTTTACTGCGTCTTATAAACAGGATTTAAATACGGTAGCAAGTTTGTCATGGGTATGCCCGAAAGTTTTATTTCCTTTCTCCCTTTCCCTCCTCTCCCTTTCTTCTCCATGTAACTCTTCTTGGCAGTTATGGTATGCGAAATCTTGAAAATATTGCTCAGACGATAAACAAGTTTTTTTTTCATGTTTGTCACGCTACTATGGATCGATAAGTAAATTTTTTTTATAATTGTAACACGGATTTCACAATCGATGGCTTTTTTGGACCAGTGTATTGAACGCGATACTATTCACTAAAAGAGAAATGACTTGATATGTTTGTTTTTAAATGTCTCTATAAAACGATACTTGCAACGCAGTGATATGCTTATATTGCGACTTATAACATCGAAATCTACTTTTCAGTTGAAGTTATAGGACGGATTTGCAGTTCTTACCTAACTTAGTGTCCTGAGAATTATTAAATAAACGAAAACTTGTGAGTAAGAAATGAGAAAGTAATAGAAAGGTTATTAAGAAGTATTTTAAAGTTACAAAATAATACTTCTCAAATTTAGATTAACTTTAAACAGGTAAACTCGACAAATTAAATTGGAATTTTAAGGACCACAAACTTCTGCTGGTACTACTACTAACCTTAAGTTGGCTCAGGCAAGTCCTTAAGCTATAATAAAAACTGAGCTTTAAAAGGCTTAAGTCATTACTGGTAAGAGCTTATAAAGTTAAAGAATCTTTGTTAAAACTTTAATCAATTTAGTAAAGCAGAAAAACTATTAATACTAAATTTTATCAAAATAATATTTTTTAAACAGATGTTTTCCGAAGGCCTTTCCAGTTTTCGTCAACAGGATTATTGATGAAATAACGACAACTGTAAAAACAGTATTTTTAATAAGTAATATTATTTCTATTAAAAATAACTTAAAAGTACATGTGTAAAAATTACTTTTACGTAAATTATGAGTAGCACTGCTCATCTGAAAAAGAATAAAGGATAATAGTCAATAAAAAGTAACTAACCTTTCCAAGTGTAAAAGGGCGGTTTTGTCTACTTCATCAACCGTTTTTAAATATTTTTTAAATAATTCAGCTGCTTTATAAAATTCTTTTTGAGCATAATTTTCAAAAGCCTCCGAAAAGAGTTTTGACGCGTCAATCTACTTAATTGGGCAAACAGCAAAAAGAACGGGTTGACCAGCAGATCAAAAGGTAAATCTTGTGAAAGGCAGAGCGTATACTTGCGCTTGAGAGGCGGTCAATTTGTGGTCTATAAGCTCGTAAACGCGTATGGGATCCTCTCTGCCTTTGACCTCAATAAAATCCAATGGACGAAAGACAAAGTAGTCTCGAACGGCCGAGTAGGTCGTCTCAGAGACCATAATATTAGTTCCGTAGTCTTTATTTAGCCCTTCCAAATCCTTTGCAACGAAGTCAGCATGCTTCTAGTTAGAAGGAAACTACAGTACCCACCGACGCGAGTGTTACAGCATCTCCTATAGCTGTATAATTAAGTCGTGTTTCACTGCCAAAGTTGCCTACGAGGGCATAACCGCTGTGAAGACCTATGCGTGCTCGAACGTCGGGAAACCCCTTCTCGTTCCAAGCTAATAGCAAGTCCCCCCATCGATGTTTTTACTTTCGAAAACTTATTAAATTTACCTTTTCTAAGTACGCTGAGTCTAGCTTGATACAAAAGAGCAGCCTCGCATGCCTTCATTTGATGGTCCACCACAGTATCGGGAGCGTTCCAAAGTCCCATAATAGCATCGCCAATGTATTTGTCTATAACCCCTACGGACAATAGAAATCCGCTTTAAACATCAATAACAACAATACGCAGGTGAAAGTGTTTTACCCTCGTTGTCCTCCATAATACGAGACATTTCTTCCAGATACTCACTCCCACGCGTGAAAAGTGTTTAAATTTTATACGAATTTAAAAGTTAACAAATGCAAACCTCAAAACTAGCATGAGATCATCCAAATCCAGCTTTTCGGAAATCTTGGTAAAATCTGCAATGTCAGAGAAAAAAAACTATTGTATATTTGTTTAAGACCTATGAAAGCCAAAACACGGTTGTTGTTAAAAAAGTATACTGTCATGTATTTAGGTTCACAAAAAAGCTCTGCTTCACTCCCGGAGCTAACTATGATTTCCAGTAGTGTGCAAAACCAAAGATAGCACAGTTAAATTAATACCGAGCATTCTAACTACATTTAGAGGAACAAACTTTGAAAAAGAACTCAACGTACGATGCATCTATAGAAGATATAATTGCCGAAAAATTAACAGACGCTAAAATGTGGCATATAGCGCGGACCAAGCCGAGGCTCTCGTAGATCCTGCTAATCTCTTTAATAGAAGAGTCCTCGAATATTTTTTCCATCTCTACACTAATATTAAATGTCGCGAGAAACTTCAGTTTTTTAGTACAATAGTAGAGGGGAGTGGTGACCCTGGAGCTGGCTGTTTACCAAAAAGCTGCTAAGAAATGCGCAGAAATAATATCTATCAGAATGTAGTACCAAACATGCAGAAGAAAAGGCAAGTGATTATTATATTCAGGCTAGCAAAGAGCGTGTCAAACAAAACAATTTTAAAGTATCTTGAAAAATACGATACAGGGATTACACCCTTTCGGAGGCGTTTATGAAAATACTCCAATAAAAAGGTTTCGGACAAAAAAAAATTACCACAATGCACCAGTTAAAATCTGTGTATCTCGCCGGTTGAACAGCAACGATGCTACCTTCGTACTCAAAAGTCTGCAAGAGTTAACAAGTCTATTACTCGCCTACTGTCGCAGTTGAAATGCGCTAAACCTCTTCTTTAGTAAAATTCGACTGCAGCAAACCCGTTCGGTTAATGAAATGGCCAATCATATTTAAATCTTCTGAAGGGCTCTAAAAAAAATACTAAGGAAAAAATACTCCTTGTGAGTAAAGAAGTTTACGTTGTATATAGTGTAACGCTCTCCGGACGGAGCAAGCAAATCGGAGAAATTCAACGAGGTGGCCACCAAACGTAAGGTGTCCAATTCAAAAACAAAAATATAACCCAGAGGAGAAGAGAAATAGCGCTCTACCAAAGAAAAGAGATAATATTCTGTAGCACAAGCTGCGCTAGTAATTACCTAGAACAGTGCCAATGGAAAAAATCGGTAAATTGAGTGCTAAGTAGTACTTTAAGGGCTCTTTTATATTAAGGGGGATTCGCGTAACTGTAAAAAATAATAATTCTCTAGCAATAGAAAATGGATTAAGGGACACTTAGTAAGCTAACAGGCCGTAATAGTTAGGAGGGAGTCAAAAGTGTTTTTGTATACTGAAGTCCAAGAGTAATCGGTGCCTTGGTTGTAGACACTTACGTTGTTCTTAAAACTATCAGCCTGTTAAAAAAATGCGCTTTAAAAAAAATTCAAAGTAAAAGATGTATGGAGAAGCTAACCGGGATGGTATACCAAGCAACTCTACTGGGAGACGACTGTATCACAGAGCAATCCCAGTTTTGAGTGGGGCAATGGGGATTGAGTTTATAAAACTCCATTTTTTGAGTCGGACTTTCTGTTGAAGCCAAGAGTCAACATAACTGTAACAGCCACAAAGTTTGTGCTCCAGCAAATCACGAACCAGCAAAGCCAAGTAAATAGTTAGAGCCTTTTTCTTCGTTGCCTATATATTCTTCCCTGTAATAGTCTTAATACAGGAATAAAACGTTAGTTAGTAATAATGTTAAGCATATCGGCAATTACAATCCTCCAACTTCTTTTTATTAAAATGGTGGGAATTGCTCATGTTCTGATCCGTCAGCAAAGAGGTTACAAGAATAACTCGGTTGTCAGGGCTCACAGTATATAAGGAAAGGCCGTAGGAACTGGTATGCAGGTACAAAGTAAGAGAGCAAGCCGGCTGAAGACGTTTAAAGTCGGGTTACAAAGTTCTGTTAAACACAGACAAGAGAGTGTGGGCCATAACGTTAACAGAGCGCGCCGGGTCCACTACGGCGGGACAGAAATATTAAGGCTACGCTAAGCAGCGCATCAGAAAAGAGAACTGGAAGAATAAGTGACAAGCGCAGGAACGGTGAGCATCAGTTCTATTTCGATAGTTTTTAAGCTAAGCTGTATAGCCTTCAGCTCTTCATTCACAATCTTATAGAAATATCAGGCTATTGTGTTTAAATAAAACATTTCTGTCATGAAAGAAACCTGCACAGCTATAAGCTCTCCCGAATACTGTAACTGATCTAGCGAGGAGCGATACAACAAAAACGAAATGCACGAGACAACAAAAATTAGCTGAATAGCTGTAATTCCTACGCCAAGAAAGGCACAAGGTAAGTAAAGAAGGCCTACATGTAGGATTAAAAGGGACCTAAAAACAGCTGATTAATAGTAAAAATCTTGCGAGTGACTTTCCCCCCTTCGAAAGACCCGCAACAAACCGGCAGATTGCGCCTCGGTCGTGATTCCGATTCCCTTCCAGTAAAACTAGTAACGATAAATTTTTAACGCGTTGCTTTATGCTGTTATATATTTTTTAAAAAAACCTTTCAGTTGGAAGCGCAAATAAGTACCACTGAGGAGCTGGGCCTGTGGGAAAAAGTTATAGCAGTGACTAGTAAAGTGCAGTCAAGAACCCACCAAAGTGTAATAAAGAGCGGACAGGTATAACTATTTGTCCCAGAGGAAGGGGAACCTCGTCACAATGCAGTAAAAAAAGCAGGCGCATTGAGGAACCTAAAAAAGCAGTCAGTATAATAGAACGCTCTATCGCTACTCATGAAAAAACTCTCATATGGGAGCGCTTTGTCCCTCTTAAAAAATCTTTCCTTTTTTCTTATTGTGGAAACTATAACAATGAAATGTAAATAGTCAACTTCTAAGTGTCAAAGTAGTTAAAAGTATATAATACTCAGTTTGTAAAACTTGAAGAAATAAGTAAAAATATAATAAAACAACAGCTACACTGATTTTTTAAATTGCGAATAGGCGGCAAATCTCCAAGAAACAGAAAATGGTTGTTTTCATAAAATTTAGTAAAGTCGATCAAAAAAGTGTCTTCCCAACTTGCCTTGTAAAGAACTTTCCTACTATCTAATAAAATTGTGTAAGCTTTATCATGTAGAACTCTAACAAAAGAAACCAATGGATGGATCCTTTTTTCCGTAACAACTGCTTACAGTGGAAACAATCGTTCTCTTATTAAAGTCATTGTATATTGATAATTCCAGCCAAAAACTCCGAGTTGCATATAGTTCATCAGACGAGTTAACGCTGTTTTTATCGTTTAAATTTTTTTTTACAGTAAATTCGTCGAAACAAAATTTTAGTTTAAGGGCGCGCACTAGTAGAACTTTTAAATCCACCTCATCCCACTTAAACTCTAAAAGCAACTGAATAAACACCTTTTACATACTTAAGTTGCAAAAAAAAGTTAGAGAGAAATAACCTCGCAATTTTTCGTTTTATTGCTTGCTACTATTGAGTAGTGCTTTTGAGGGAGAACGTCCCGTTGAGAAGAAGGAAGTGATGCCTTTTCCATCCTTCATAAGGCAAGTATATTTAACTTCAATCGATATACTTAAATACATAGTTACTTTTGGTCATAAGTTAATATTGAAAAGTTAAGGTATTGGTATTTGCCATAAAAAATCGCTTCAGATTCTACGAATAGCAATACGTGACGATACCACAGGAAGTTAACCATCCTATATTAGTATATACTCTGGCATTATACTCGAACAACAATGGACAGCCTTTTTGTTATAATTGATGTTTTAATTAAACTGTACTTCAGTTTCCATAGTTGTTTAATTTTTATTACTTAACTGTTATTTTAAAGTACTGACTGTTAACTGCTTGCCAGTCTCATTTAAGCTCTACTACAAAAAAAAGATTAAGATTGATTATTATTACGATAAGGAAGACAAAGCTGCTTTCATATGATCAACTCACACTAGAAGGGAGTAAAGTGAAGCGTCCCAATGGTGAGGCCCTACTTTGGCATACTGCATTCGGTGGTATGTTCTTATAATATTTTTTTTTGTCTTTCATCAGTATAGAATTGTGCTTAACTTTCTTTTTAAACTACTTAATAGTATAATAGTAGTGATCTGGCGGAAGGTAAATTTTTTTTTGAGCTTTTAAGTTGATAAATTGTTTTGAAGGTAAACACCCTTATGATAATAGTGGGACTATATGTTATTAGCAGGAATAATTTTTATTACAATCTATGTACCGTACTGAGTGCTATTTTAATTTTACAATTTTAGTTTATACTTAATATCTCTTAGATTTCGTACTATGCCTAAAAGTGGAACAACCACTTAGGGGTAGAGGAAAGCATTTATTAAGGCAACGGCCTTAACTACTAGGGCAAGTGGGCGGCTGAGACAAACAGTAGGTCTAAAAACTAAAACGCAATATTGTAAGAACTAGTAATGCATAACTGGAACCGCGTAAGAGCAGTACTATTCCAAGGTTTTTTACTGATTTATTCAATATTTTCATTCATATAATTTTTTATAATTGAGTCATAAATTTTGTCGGGAACATATTCCCTAAGGCTACTTAACTATTAAAATTATTGGCAATGCTCGTTATAGGTATGCAGGTTTTTAAAAAAAAATTTTTTAAAGTTTCATGAAAATTGTTTATTGTATTTGTAGGCTACCTATCCATAATTATGGTAATATAGAATAATAGCAATACTTAAGACTTATGCTATAAAAATCGTAAAAAGTTTTGGCTTTATGGAAAGCAAATAAACACAATTTAGTATTCACTTACGCATAAAGTTTTTATAGCACAAGAGATTGTTAACTGGTATGTATTTTAAAATTTTTAACGAATGCGTAATGCGCACATGATTTCCGTAAAACAATAAAGTTTGATAACTTCGAGAATCATATTACTTTTTATTATACTAATGTATAACGTATGCAAGGGACATAAATAGTATAGAAATATCGCTAAATAAGATATAATTTTTCTAAGTATTTACAAACGGTATCTAAACCTTTAGAGGCTGGTATCAATTTTTTTAATTTTTCAAAATTAACCGTAAATCGAGATGTATATATAAAAGCACGGTTACCGTCGTGACCATACAAAAAATAAACGCGATTTCTAGTTAAAGTTATGTTTTATTTTATCACTGGCATTTTACTGCTGATCTTTAATAAAGATCTTAAAACGCATAATTTGTGCTCTTCACTCAAGAGGAGTTAGGGCACAAGCATTCATCAGTACATGTTCATGGAAAAGTTACAATGGCCGTTTCGAAAAACTAGGAAAAAGCGGAAGTATCGAGTCAAGAAATTTTTACCAATGCGGCCCTAGGGATTAGGCCTTGTGGCGGTTGGCCAGCAAAATGTGTGTCAGGTTTCCACAAGTACGAGCACCCACCCAGAGGGGTTCCCTAATGCTGACTACATATACTAGAATTTTTATTACATGAATATATGATAGATAAAGTTGTTTAAAATTCCTTTTAAGCTTTTAGACTCTTTTACTAATACACACGCACTCTAGACTTTAGGCTCCCTATAAACTTCCTGTAGACCGTTACTATCAACACTTTGTTCGGCCCTATGGACTGAAAAGCTACCACAAACGAAAGATCGAATCTTTCTTTAATGAATTGAAATGAGTATCTATACACAATTTTAAAATACTCTTGGTAGATTAAATCTACCAGTTAAGATTAATTATATTTGCAAAGAGCATACCTTCAGTTGTATGGCATCTACCTTTTTTTTTTCTAACTGCCCACTGTAGTTGGATCATATGATCAACAAAAGCATATGTAATATAAATAATAAGATGAAGCGAGAGGGTTTTTTTAATAATAAGAGCTCTTAGTATTGATACTTAATATACAGTTCCGAATGCCGTACAATATCAGTAATATTACCAAGGTTCTCTACTTTCTAATTGAAGTAATTTTGAAAAATTATTTTTTCATAACAATGTACAATTATTTTTTCGTTAAACAATATATTCAGTTTTATAAAATTATTTAGTAATTTATCCATGGTTTTGTTTTAATAAGTTCGTAAGTGTATCGCTTTATGAAGGGTTGTTAATAGATGTGTTAAGGTTTAAGTATTGCGCTAAAAATTTCACGTTTTACGTGGCGGTACGCTAGGTCACGGCTGCAAAATGTTATCTCGAGCTCCTAAATTTTCACATAACCCTTAGGTCAAATCTTAGTTAAAAAAGCTTTTCGATTCTTGAGACCTTCTTTATAGTGAAGTGCGTGCAGTTTTTCTATTAATTTAATTTAATTTTGGTTTTGATCATTTTGTCTTCTAGTTTTTTTTGTAGTTTTTTTTTTGAATTTTTCTTGTTTCTTATAACATTATTTTGTCATACAATTAAATATATTTACTAGTTTGTTTTTTATGCTTTAAGTAAGCTTTTACTCTTTTTACGTTTTGTAACTTTTCCGCGTTTTTTTATCATACGAACCTTACGGCTTTAGGGTTGTTCTCACAATGTGTCTCTGTCTGTCTTTTGTTAAATGGGTCGCACTTAATGCTTTTAACTGCCTGGCTATCCGTGTAAAATATTGCTTTTGCTTCTATGTTAGGTTACAAACCCTTTTTTTTGGGTTCTCTGAGTCTATTGATCCAATGATGGCTTACTAATTGTTGTGTATTCAACCTCGCAAGCCAAATTATTATTTAGGCCCTCTCAATTTTTGTTTTCCAAGGGAAAAAACCGCCATTAATAAAAATTAAAAAGCCCATAATAGTTTAGGGTGCTTTGACTAGCATTCACTTTTGATTTACCCCTTAATTATCGTTTATTAATAATTCTTTATAATTGGCCTTCATGTTGTATAGGAAACTTAAAACTCTTTTTAGCAGCAGTCATATGTGAATCATCGTCATCGTGCATAGAAATCCCAACATAGTTCCAGTATATGCAAAACTGGTTTGGTGCTAACTACTACCTTCCGTAGTGAGTCAATAAGACTGCAGTATTCCTGATTTTCTTGTAAAAATGGTATAGTCGGGTACCAAAATCTATTGATGTTTTTTGTATGAATAGGAAATGTGTAGGTAACTGTTCAATCTTTTCTGTTTGGTGCACGTTATGGTCATCTTGCTGTTTTAAATCGATTCGAGTATGCTACCTTTGAAGTCAGTATTAAGTTAATTCATTATTTAAATTGTTTATTGAAGAATTAATATCTTCAAGCATAAATACAGTCATCTACACAAAATCCTTTTTGTTTTCAAATAAGTTAAATAGAATATAAAGTCAATAATTAAATTTTGTAACCATACTAAAATCTCTTAAAAATTCTACCATTCCCTTGTTTTTTTAGTTTTTTTTAGAAAGACCTTTTTGTTCATTACGAATTACGGGGTATAACCCCTGCGAATTGTGAACATAAGTATTGTATTTACTACTGCGGATGTGATGTCTACTAGCATTCATTTACTTTTTTTTGCCCTTAACAGTTTAAACGAGTCTATTGATGGAATAAGTGAATATGTTTCGTAATAGTCGATACCGGCTGTTTTTTACTGAAAACCTCTGACGTGCTTTAGATAGGTTACCTTTGTAATTTGCAAGTTCCAAGTGGTTAATAATTTTTTATAACTGGAAACTACTGCAACGTCAAGGATTATAATTCCGTCGTGATCTATGATTGATGAAAAAATGTGAATATAAATTTTCATTTTTTTCTCTTTAGCTTTGGTATTTTCTAATACTGCTGTTAGTTTATGATATATTATTTATATTTAGGGGCTTGAAGTTGCCAATAACTAGTCACATTGGTTATCTAAATTGTATTAAAATGCTTGATCTTGTGTACTAAGTTTTTTAATAATTTTCTGCTATAACTTTAATAATTTTTTGTTTTAACAGTTTCTTCCCAGTATTTATATTAATTGGTTTGTAATATTGTTACGTATATATGTTTTTATTTGTTCGTTGAGGTGGTTTTCTTAATAATGATCATTTTTAATTGTCTCTTTTTATCATTCTTGTTATTATTCATTAGCAGATGATTGCATTTGTTTTAATGAATTCACCTCATTCAGGTGTTTATTTTAATTTTAATATCTGTTTTCGTCTATATTGAATTCATATTCTTTTTATTGCATATTAATTTCATTTGTTTTGTTTTCCAAGGTTTTAGAAAAGATTTTTAATTTAAGTGGTGTTTTTTTGTGCTTTCATATATATATTTTCTTGTGTAATAATATGTCTGTGTTTGCTATCGTTGTTTTTGGTAAAATAATAATAATTGTTCTTTTTTATGTTAGTAGTGTCTCTGTTTTCTTTATCCCTTTTGTTTAAGTGAGATTTTTCCTTCGTTCTATTAAAAAATAATTTGATTGTTGTTAATTTTTTGTTCCCAGTTTCCCAAGATAATATTTTTCAATCCCTTTGTGTATAAATTTGAGTCATGTTGATTTTTTTTTTCCCCTTCGCATAGAAAAATATTTACAAAGCACACCAAGAAACCTTCTTGTAGCCAAGATTAGCCTCCAGTATTCATCCCGTGTGGCTTGCAGGGTTTAGATAAATAATACCTTCTATAGCCCTGTCACCTGATTTCCTTTTATAATTAATGGCACAAATGAAGCTTGTGAGGTTTTTATAATATCATGTTTATCTTCTAAAGTTTTTATTTTGTTTGGGAGTAGCGGTTTCATTTCCCTTTATCATGTCCTTCGTGGGGAAAATTCTAACTGAATATGCTTCAATCCATTAATTTTTTGGTAGCTTCTAATGTTTAAGTATGCACCTCGTCATGTTACATAATGCCTGTATATTTCTTTCGCTCAACATATACTGGTGTATTCGTGGTAATAGAACTAAGTATAAATCCTGCTTTGTTTAGTTTATTCTTTTAAAGTGTTTATAAAATCGCTTTCTTTTTCTTCTCTCACTGCTTCAATTATTGCTCTTTCGATGCTTTTGTTATTAAACTTTAGGGTTTTAAGGTGTTTTTTACGGTTGTTTACGCTGACGGATAATGGAATTGTTGTCGTTGGTCTAGCATCTGCTTCACACTACTGCATTTTTGCCGTCATATGTAGGAGAGTTGTTCTTACAGAATGTCGAGATATAGGCGTAAGGCTTTTCTTACCAATATTGTTCCTTTTTATTTTGCTACTGGTACATATTTCACATTTGTAAATGGGATTTTATACTTTTAAAACTTGGCTCGAGTTATTTGTATGAAGCTTAGCCGAGTTAGTAGTGCTCTGCAGGTGGGGTGGTTTTTTTATAAAATGTATAATTTCCTACTTTCATATATATAAGTTTGTTGTGGCTAAGGTTTTAATTATGAATTTGCATATAATACACTTTTTTGTTGACCACTAATATTTAAGACCCCGTTTAGTAACTGATCATATTTAACATACCTACCGATGTTAAGTTGTAAGACTGGCGCTCTTAAAATGCCCACCTTTTATTGTAATTTGTGCAGTGTTCATGCTGTGAGAACATAAATTAGAGTAATGTCCCTTGTTGCATCGTATGCACACTTTTTTTTAACTAATTTTCACTTCTTAGTTAGTTTTGTAAAACACGTTAGCCTGAAAAGCTGACTTGTTTTTCTTGAAAAAGTTATTATTCTTGGAAGAAATATTTCTTTTTAAATAAAAGTAGAGCGTCAAAGGCGTACTCATAATCTACTTCTATTAGATATATACTATAATGTTGCCTAGTAATACTCTATCGTACTTATAATCGTTAAAGCGTTATATCTCTTAGCGCGATTGTCTTGATGACTCCAGCAAAATGTCCCTTTTGGCTTCTTCAGCTTTTTATGTTACAGTGTTCGACAAATGCGATTGGCAAGATGATTAAGTTTGTTGGAGAAAATCAATGTACTCTTTTCTTTTCTCTGTTAATAAAAAACGTTTTTTAAGTCACTTATGAAGGTCGCCATATAATATATTTTAAAGCATATTTTGAAACTTGTGTGGTCTCTTTAAGTTTCGTGGCATCTGGTTTAGATTTACGTTTTTCAATATAATTAATATTGATCTGTAGATGCTACTAATTTTTAATTTTTTTCTAAATTTTTTAACAAAGCTTTTTCAATTCTTCCCATCAATTTAAGTTTTGGAGCTTTCGTGTCACCAATGTGTTAGAAATTACAAAAATTAAGTTATACAAAATAAATAATAACTATAAATATATATTGAAAAACAAAAAAAGAATTAAGAATGAGAGCTTATTTTTACTATCAGAGCTTCGTAGTATTTATAATAAAATCAAGGCTTCGAGCAACCAATCATGTCAGTAAATATAACCAATTACTAATTAAAGCGTTATAAAATTTTTACGAAAAAATTTAAAACATTGAAACAATTTTGAAAGATAGTTATATATCCATAAATTGTAATTCGCTTACAATCGGGCAAACATTAACATATCTTTTCCTTTCTAACCAAATTATTGCAGTTTACTCTTTTGCAAGGCTTCTAAATTACTTTTATTACTCCAGCAATGGCAATATGTATAGCATCGACAACTATTTACCAAACTCCTCTTTTTAAAAATTTGTTGGATTTATAATTTGTCCTAAGGATTTTTTTGAAAGGGGAGGAGCAATCAGGGAGTAAGCATAGTAATCCGAAATGTTAGGCAAACTACACGTGTGAATGCACACAATTAAATCCAAGTAGTACAGGCATGTAGAATGTACCACTTGGTATGATGTCCAACACCTTTAAAGGCGTTAATATAAAATTAGCGTCACAATATACATATCTAATAGAATGTCACGCCACATGTCTTTACGAACAAAATACTATAATAAAATAATTTAGCCAAATATTTGCTTTTATTTTTGGCGCCGTCATTTTTTCTTTTATGTAAACAAATGGTTGGGCTTTATTAATCTTTAAAGGCTTCCACTGCAGCTAATTTTACCATAATATCGCACTTATTATAACTAACCCACACAAGGTACACTAATCTCTTTTATAATTATCTTGCTTTAAGTAAAGAGTTACATCATCTCTCTAAATGTAGTCCGTAGTCTTAGTTCATTTAACCGATCGGAAATATTTTTCAAAACCATTTAAATTGTTTCATAAGATTAAAAAAGCAAAACAAATACTTATTACCATGAAAAATTAAAATTTTAAAACTGCTAATCCAAGGGTAGTAGCAAAAACGTGTAAAATCTGTATAAGAGATTACCAGCTCTCAACACTAACTGACCAACTATTATTAAAATTCTTAAACCGTTCGGCTTGCATTCTTATTTAGAACACCTTTTAGGATCCCCCGAAAGGAATTTAGTTTGACTGACCCACGAGAGCCTTTCTCATAGTTAGTACTAGTTAATTTGAAAATTATGACTGTAAAACCTGCACACCCTTTTTATAATAATGCTACTGCTTATTTTGCCGAATATGACGAGTATTGTGCTTTGGTATATTTTTAAACTCCTTAGCTTTTGTTTTCTTTTTAATATCAACATTAAATAGTTAAATAAGCTGAAAGAAAGTGAAAACCGTAGTGATTCTTACAATGTAACTCAAATTGAGCGACGGATATATAAAATCTTAGATAAGTATCAAACTCAAAGTTGTTTGCTAGACTCCTGCCTTGAGATTAGCGTCCAAATTCTTTTCTCTTTGGTTGCTTTCGTTGAAGCACCCGAAACAGTTAATGTTACCCCACGAAAATTACTAGCTTTCAGAATCTTGTATTACCTAACGAAGGTATTTCATATGTTTTTTGCTATTATTATCTACGCGTTAGTTAACTTTTTAATGTGTTTTCTTTAATTAATTGTTTTTTAAGATTTGCGGGTACAAAATTGTTATCAAGTTTTTACCTTCACATATTCAATACTTTAAAACTGCGACTTCTCTCTTAATGAAGCTTACCGAGAAAAATTCTAGTTACACTTCCGTAATTTCGGACAGTTTTATTAAATACTTTTAATTATTCTATTTATATTTTGGTTTTAGCTTTTATTATTTGTTTATATACTTTAAGGCATGGGAATCTCGATATATGTTGTTGTTATGGCTTTCCGTTATTTGTATGAATCCTTTTGATATACGAAATTTGGACAGCGACTTGGCTATTAACGAGATTTATGATCATACAAGAATGGTTTAATTATGTTATTACCTACTCTCTGAAGTTGTTAATTTTTTGCAACGTAGTATCTCCTGATGCCTGATAAAACTGGAGAGGGCGCCGCGGTTTACATTTATATATTTTATCTAATATATATACTCTACTAGTAAAATAAAATTTTTTATATATATACTTCTTTTTAATAAAAAGGTTTGTATGTTATTATTTACCTTTTCCTTTTTAAAATTTAGGTCTTATTAGGGCGACTTCTGTCACGTAAAGATTTATGCGATGTATACTTACCAAACTTACTGAAGTGGTTTTCTTCTTTGGCCATAAATTTTTCAGGTCTTCTTCATTTGTATGAAAAGTTTGTTAGTGATAATTATTATGAAAGTTTTAAATTAATTTTTTAGTTACTTAACTATCGCCGTTATTATTATTTTTTTTCTATTATAGCCTCTTTACTTGAATATCTTAAGCTTATATTCTTTAGTTAATAATTCTTCCGTTGAGGTGGTTATCGCAATTAACGGTGTCCTTAAGTCTTTTTGTTACATTTTGAAATTTTCCCAGAGGGATACACTTTTTCACTTTTTCAGTGATATATATCAGGTTTTAAATTTGTATCGTTTCTTATTACTTAAAGCGCGTAAGAAAACTATTACACTAGAATGTGAGCAAGTGGATTAATCAGCTCTTATGCATGAAAAACTCGTCTTCTCGAAAGCTTGTGCTGAAAACCTTCGGGAGAATCGCTTTATGCCGGCTGCCCTATTCTGCTCCTTTGTGGAGGCCTCGTTTATCAATGTCTCACTTTTAGTTATTAGTTCATTGTTGCTTGTATATAACTTATAGATACTCGCGTGGCTCCCGAAATTTAAATCACGAATTTATCGAACCAAAAACCGAAGCCCTTTCAGATAGTTTTCTCCCGAATACCTTTACTGACGAATCTTCCTCTACAGTAAATATTCCCGAGGAATTGGATGATATAGTTGACTATCTTTTGGTTGGCTTGGAAGGTGAGTCTTTATGCTATTAAGACCATGTGATCTTACAGTGAGCCTGTTTATAAGGACTCTTTTGCGTACAATTTCAGCATCGGAGAAAGTGTTTAACTAACTTATTAACGATAGATCTCTCTACAGTAGTTCGCTGGACTTCAGCAAAGTATTTGGGTCGTATAACAGAGAGGATTCCGCTAAAGTAGATTTTATGTTAACTTTGACTACAGTTCATTACTTTTGTTTGTTTTATTTTGTGGATGTCGAGTTGGATCTTCTAGTTAAAACATTTTAAGGCTCGAAGTAGTAATGTTTAGAGCAGTTTAAGTCATATTTTTGTCGTTTATATAACCTTTTTTTTATCTTAATAGTTACGCAGACGAAGTAGTTCGGGGAGTTTTGAATATTTTCTCTCTTTTTACATCTCATACTGGTAAGTAAAACTTATTACTCTTCTTAACTAGTTAAGCACTACTTCTTGAGCTTATACTATATAAGCAATACTCTTTGTAATTTTGTATGGCATATGCAGGCTGGCATGGCGGGTGTTTAGCTTTGGCTGAGCTTGCCAGAAGAGGACTCCTTCTTCCAGAAGTAGCCCCTGTCGTTGTGTTAAACATCATTCGTAGCTTATATAACCAACAAAGCACTTAAGCTCTGTAATGCCTCTTGTACTGCGCGCCTTGGTTTATGAGCACGTGGTTGGTGACTGCCGCGTGGGCTCGCACGTTCGTGATGCGGCCTGTTACGTTTGCTGGGCCTTTGCTAGGGTTTTTTCTTAAATACGTAGTGCGATCAGCCCCCATTATTTTTTATATATTGTGGGCCTACGGGGCTTTTAGGCCTATGAACCACGCCATTTGAGGCCGTATGCTTCCCAGCTTTCTACGTGGCTGCTGACTCTTGCATGTTTTGATCGAGAAGGCACATGCAGGCGTGCAGCCTCAGCCGCCTTTCAAGAACACGTGGGGCGTCAGGGTTCTTTGACTTGAAACGAGTTGCGAACGGTTTCTGAATTTTTGTAGGCCTTTTCCCGCATGGTTTCGCCCTCGTGACGCTCGCCGACTATTCTAACGTTGGCCCAATAGGGCGTGCATTTCTTAAAGTGGCTCCCGCCGTTGCCTCTTTTGAGGTGGAATTTTAGACAAGCTGGGCCAATATTTATTGACTTATAACGATAAGTAATGATAAATATTTATAGTGCTACCGTCTGCCGTTAGTTTCTTACGCCGTTAACAATCTCATTGGTCATTGGGATCGTCATATAAGATTATTAAGCTCGCGTTTTCTGGGGATTGTTGTATTAACGTTTCTATATTTTTTCTCTTGTTATTTATTTATCATTTTTCCTGTTTTCATAATAATTATTCAGGCAAACATCGATAGTGAGATGTTTTTAAAAGGCCTTCTTGGGCAGTTAAGCATGGAAATAACTAGTTTGAATCATAACACCCAACACGGAACGCTTTTAGCTGTGGCCGAAATAATGGAAACTTTACACCAAAAAGGCAGTAATTCTGGTAGGAACATTACTGATGAGTTAATGGAGATGAGTGCTATTTTACTTGAACAGGTTCTTATACTATTAGTGATAACAGTGTTGTACCTTTTTTCATTGGGCTATATTAGCTGGAGAAATTGGTCGCTTCGCGCTCTTTATATCATGGTAACGATAGTAGCGTTTTAAATATTAAAAGTCTTAATAATTCTTAACTATGGAGGGCCCGGAGCGGGTTTAATTCGTTGCGGAGTTTTACGATTGATCAGATCTCTTTCCTTCTTTCCTCTCCCCCAAAAGCAGTCAACTTTTTTTATTAAAGTTGTACTCGAAAACATTTCTGACGAGCAAAGTTTGTATGAAAGCGCTTTGAATGCGCTGGAAACTTTAGGTACAAATGTTTTGAGGTGCGTACATATTCGGTATCATTATAGCTTCTATATTTATAATAAGTGTCACATTTAGCATCGAACATTGTCATGAGCTTCTTAAAACTGTACTTTTACGCCTTGAAGATAAGACCTCTGGGCTAAAAGGTCTCGCGCTGGCACTCTCCCGGTTGCCCTGGTTTGACCTTCGACCCACTTTACTAAAATCGCGATTAATTTTAATATTAAATTTAGCGCTAATGAAGTTCTTCTTTTAAAAATTATAGAAAAGTTGTCTTCTCTGCTTCATAATAGTAAAGACTCCGAAGTAAGAAGACATGTCTTCATGGCGATAAATTTCCTGGTTCTCGTTTTCCTAGTGACTTTATTCGCCTCTAATTATTATTGTAGCTTAAACGGATGTCCGTCTTTTCTCAAAACGAAAAGTTACAACTCAAAGCGCCAGAAAACTTCGTCCTTCTCTTCTCAGAAATACTTTTGTTTGGTATGCTCGACTTTAGGTCATCTTTTTAAATTATTTTTTTGTAAACCTTTAATAAATAATGTTGCGCCACCGGATAGGGCAGATCAACGCGGTGATGTCGGTTCGTGGGTCCGAGAGTGTGCCTCTCTGGGAGTTGAAATTTTTTTCTCGCTTTTTAACAATCAGAACTGTTTCGATCCGAATCTTATTACGACCTCAAATACGCTGTTACTTCATTTGTTGGGTTTTTTTATATCTGTTATAGTAAGAGTGCACAGCATTGCTACTCGCATGTGCCTCAGGCGTCGTAGGCGACCGTATTGACCGCACGCGTTCTGTGGCTCTCAAGGCTCTGCTAAACATTCTGCACACCTCCAAACTAGCAAAGCACATTCACGGCTATCCTTTTCTAATGCGGCTAGTTGAAGAAGTGGAATTGAGGCATGCGATTACTATCTGCTGCCTTAATATTACTATTACTATATGGGTAGAGAAGGCGCAGAGGTCCAAAAATGCTTTGATTTTTTGTCAAAACTTTTAGACGTTGACTTTTTTCGCCATCACATTATGAAAACTTTTATTATATGCATTGGAGGACTTACTGAGTCTACGGTTCGCCCTTCTCACTCCACACTTAACTTATTTATCCTTATTTTTTCCTTGCACTTTATAGTCCAGAACATCAACAACTACATTAGTACAGTATTTGGCAACCTGTGCAAGTAGAGAATTTTGTTTATTTTGTGAAACTCTACTTCACTTTTCTGGTGTTAGTAAAGAAGCCGCCCGGTTAAGTTAGCTTAATTGAAACTTTTATTTTTGGAATTGCGGTTAACCCGTTTTTATTCTTTAGGAAACAATGCTCTTAAATTTATCTATGTCTTGCTTTCTAATGACTCTTTTTCGATGCTAAACGAAGGCAATCCACTCAGGTTACCGCAAAGACCTTATAGGACAGCTCTTCGTTAAACATTGAACTCGTCCTTTTTACAATCTGGCTACTTAGGACTACTTTGCCTGCTGCTATGCTAGCCTTAGTAAAGCGGATTACCCGCAAATACGCCTTCGACTATCAAAGGATACGCCTCTGTATTAAAGTGTATGTTGTGGTTTTTCTCGCGTATATTTTGTTCTTATTTTATAACGCCTTCGTAGGATATGTTTTGTTAACATCCAGTTCCCGCCATTTGCTAGTGATGGTAGTTTTTTTTTCTTAAAAAAATGGTTGTGTACACCCCCAGTAGTGTTCGCTGTTACAGGGCTTTGTCAGCTCCTCTGTTTTCTTTCTTCAAAAGACGGTTCGATTCGGCACTTTGCCGCGAAAGAACTTCTGGAAAATCTGCTCTTCTCGGACTCGATTCAAAATAAGGACGAAATACAGGATCTCCTTTCCACTACTGATTGGTTTTTACTTAATTAGCGAACTTTGTCTTGCCTACTGCAAATATCGCTAAAGTAAGATTGAAAATTTCAACACTTTACTAGAAAGCATTTGGTACTACGATTTATTATATTAGAGTAGGTTTCTTCTTCTTAGTGTTACTCTTACAGCAAAGAGTTTTTTCAAGACTTGTGGTTTTTAGGTTTTTGAAACTATCACGTATTACCATTGCTGGTAGTTTGGTTTTAATTTGTAATAATGCAATCTTATTTTGAAGGTTTATTTTACCTTGTGCTTTCCATCATTTTTTATTTTATAATTTTTTTAAAAGTTATATTAACACTATTATAATACGGCATTCACGCGTAGGAATTCCGACTATTTTGAACGCTCAAGAAATTCCTTAATCGAAATATTATCAGAGCAAGGCCTGCTACCGCGGCATTACCGCGTCGAGGCATCAAGCACGAGTTAATAAAAAGTATGTATATTTGATTACTGTTTTATTATACAAGAGGAGGTTGTTTCCGAGCTTTTAGTTGCGAAATGCTGAGCTGTAGAGTTTTTTGATTATGAACAGTAGCTTTTGGAGTAACTTACCAGGTCGTCAATTCCATGTTAGCGAGAATTTATACTACAAGACTTGGTAGCTTAGAGGTATTTTAGCATTATTTTTACTTTCTACAAAACAAAAAGAAAGAAATAAGTTAGAACTAGACAACATAATCTAGAGTTATTCCTAATGAGGTGTGCTATTTTCTAGCCTCTGCTAAACCGGCTATGGTAAACTAAAAAAACGGTTTACCATTTTGGACTTTAGATATAGCTTTGCATTAAAAAAATCGCCTTTTTTGTAATATATTGATAATAATTGTTAGTTTAGGCATTATAGTAGTAGTTCTTAAAGATGAATCGTAACGCCTGTTCGACTTGCAGGGTCGTGCATGTGGGCGTGTACCTAGTAAACTGCTGCTTTCGGTAGAGACGTGGCATATCTGTAATCACCACAAAGGGAACATGAACATGAAAAAACTTAATTCGATTTCGTTACTAATTAATATTTGACCCCATAATAAATAAAATCTTTCCCCCTTCCCTTTACATATATCCTAAGTATGTAACTTTTACATATTTAAATCAATAAAACAAAAATATTATACCAAACTAATATAGTAGTTTTAACTTCGAACTTGATTAGAAATGACTATTTAAAGGGGTGGCATGCCCACACTCGTTTGTTATTTTAGGTGGCGTGCGTTGTGCTCAGGCATTTCGATATTACCTTAAAAAAATAATTACAAAGTTGTTGTATTGACGGTAAACCTTTATACTTGTTAATTTATTTCGTTAGCCTGTAAGGATTGTTAACTATAGCATTAGAAGGTCATGAATGCGAGGTAGCTTTGACCATGGCGTACTATTAGCTAGAATTTAGAGAAACATGGGTAAATATGAAATATAGGGAGCAGGCTGATTTCGATCTAGGGAACTCGAAAGGTTACAAGTTTTTTTAAATGAAAAGTAAATAGTAAAGTGGTATAATTAAAAAACAAAATGAAGAGACAAGGTGAGATAATCAGATTAACCGATGCGGTTGTTTTTTATTTTTTTAAGTTTAATATATAGTTAAATAATCAAATAGCTAGATTAATTCATAAATCATTGTTTACTGGAGTTCAATTAAATACTTTTTCTTAATAAAATGCTTAAATTTTTTTTTTATTGGTTTGTTTCTTGATATAACTCGTACTACCCCTAATGAAGTTTATATATTTGTTTAAAAAAAGTACCGTCTTTGGAAGGAAGAGTGGTTTAGCGCAAATATCAGCTATGTTTTTGCTCAGAATTAAGATGTTTTAAAATATTTTCTTCGCTTTACCAGCTGTTAAACTTAATGATATGCTCTATCAATGTGACGTAATCTTTTTTCTGACGCATTTCCACTAAAAAATATTCATTACAGTCTCGGCATAAATTTGTACTATAATAGGTGCCTCAGGGAGTTCTTTTATAATATTTTCTATGGCTATAGTATTGGTTATAGAGTTACTAAGAGCTATATACTCAGTTTCCCAAGATTACTTATCTATAGTGCTTCTCCAAATTTTAGTTTTCCATTGTAACAAATAACCGTTTAGAAAAGTTCTTTAACTCGTTGTAGTACGATAATCATAATTATCGGTCCAAGAAGAGTAACCACTACATTCTAAAATAATGTTATTAGTTGAAAAATTATTAGTTATAATTTTCATATGCCTTGTTTGTAAGTTAAAACTCTTTTATTAGTTTTTATGTGCTCCTCGTTACTGTTTTGAAGAGACCTTCCTAAAATGCTAGTTACATATGCTATATCCGGCCTTGTGCTGTTAGATATGCTTCTTTTCAGTGTTGCTGGGAGGTTTGAGTTTCGTATACCTTGGTTGTTCTGTTTATACCATATTTAAGTCGCTGAATTGACTAAGGGAGATTAACGTTATTATCTATTCCCAAAATCTTACCCAATTGAGTTAAGTCCTTAATTACGTATTCCTGGCACATAATATAAAGAAATTTGTCTGCGTCTTCCAAAATAATGCCTTCGTCAACATATATACCAACAATCACATCGAAACTTTTTGAGTAAAATATACATTGGTCCCACACACTTGGTTTAAAGCTATATTCCTGTAACCATCTAGATAGGCCAAGATAAAAAAGCTGGCTGATCTTTTAGGCAACAAACTGCTACGTTATTTTTTAGAGCTTACTAGACTTCTTTAGAGTAGTGTATCAAATTTTGTGGTGTAGAGAAGTTGTAAACGCAACCACCAACCCAGAAAACGGTAACCGAAATCCGCAACTTTGAGATTAAGCGACAATGTTCTAACCACTGAGCTTCGGTGAACAACTCACATTCCAGGTCGATCAACTACGTATACTACTTTTTTTATAGTGCCCACCTAGTAATCATTTTTCTTCTGAGTTTAGTAAATTTTAATTAAATGCATACCTTGAGGCATGTAAGTGTACACTGGTTTTTTATGTTTTGTATACAAAAAAGTAGTTGTTATATCAGCACGTTGGATAGGCATCTGCTAATAATTTGCAATGTTGAGTAGTAAAAGGAAGGGCCCTTTAGATAAAAATGGAGAATAAATTTCATTGTAATCAACACCGGCTATATCTTAATAACCTCTCGCTGTCAGTCGTGCCTTATAATGATTGTTACTTTTCTTTCTGTGAAGCATCCACCGTTGTGGATAAAAATTTTTTATTCGAAGGAACTCCATCATTGGTAATAATTTTAAACCCTCCATGCTTAAAGAGTGAAGTGCATTCGTGGCGGCATCTACATGTCTTTTGTTCCAAACTTTTTTGCTTCATTAAAGTAAGATAGGTTATTGCTAAGTATCCTCTTTAGTCTTTTTAACCTTATCTATGTTCTTTTCAAAAGACCTAAAATTTCTTTTATTAGTGTGTCAAACAAAAAAACAAAAGTTTATCGATTATTTTTTGTTCAGGAGGCGTTTTTTACTGGGTATTAGACTCTGAGGTGTTTGAAATTATGTTATCGAAATCTTTATCGTCAAATTCTGATTTTAGTAAAATAATATGAAGATACTTAGGAGTGTCTAAAGGAGTTACGATATTTACAGCATCAGAGTTTGTCTTCTATAACAATTTTTTTATAATTTTTGGCTTAATTTTTTGATTTTAGGTTATAAATTTTTGGTTAAATCAGACTGTTTGGTAAATAGAAGATGTTTCCATTTGAATTTGTGGTTGTATAAATGGTTTGTAAAGAGGAAAAAAAAGGATCTGAGGGGGTTATTTGTTTTAGGAGCTGTGCATTCTGCAGGCGAAGAGATATTGTACATCCTTGAAGTTTTGGGTCCACAGAGAAAAAACTTGCTGTGTTTTAGGTTCTATATTTTCTGCTTCTGCAAGTGTGTTCTCATTATTATTCGTCTTGGTTCTTTCATTTCTAATATTGTTTACTGACATTGAAATACCCTTATATTTTTTGGCTTAGTCTCAAAATCATTAACATCACTGTATTTGTTGGTAATGGGTATAACTTTGATGTACTACCAAGATATGGGGTCAAATTTTTTTAGTCCAAGATTGTCAGTCTCCGGCTAATTGTTTTTGTACGAAGGTGTGTTTCCATAACAGAGAGCATCCCTCGACCGAATTATTTTATTTCATACTGGAAATTAGGGTGGTATATTCCTCATCTGTTGAATCTGTTGGTTTGGAAAGTAGGGATTCTTCCGTTGCTCTACCTTGAGAATTCTTTTTGTGCTCGGGACTATAAAAATAAATTTTGCAACCTAAGGGCATATATCTTTTTAAGTTATTAGTAGTTTTAAAGCCAAATAACTCGGTAGATGAAAGAGTACTGCTGCCTCTAGAAATATTGCTGTATAAAACAGCATCCCTGAAAGCTTCACTCCAATATTTGGGAGGTAAACATGATTGCCTTAAAATGCATTTGGCTATATTGCGTAAGGTCTGTATACTACGTTCACTTAGCATATACTGAGGTATATTCCTGGGAAAGGTGGTAAATAGGATCCTACGCTCTTTAATTTATTTTTAGTATGTCATTGACGTATTCGCTACTTACTCCCTCGATTATGCTTGCAGTGGATGTTTTTAGTTTCCTGTTTTTCATGTACTTGTTCTGGTGTTTTAGCCAGTCCAACAGTTTATATTTTATATCTTCTTTGCTTTTGGAGAACAAGGCAACGACATGTTTAGATTTTGCATAAGTACCTATAACTATATATTGAAAACCACCAAAAAAATTTTGTTCCATTGTAGATTGTAAACATAGAGTTGTAGACCAAGTTTACAAGGCGAATTTTTTGGCTTACTTTATTTATCTTCTTTTTTTTTTCCAATTTACATTTTGTACAAATTTCACGGTTATCAGTAGTAAAAGGTCCTACGTTAGGTATGATATTTTTCGGATATTTATAACTTATGCATCCATATTTGTAGTGCTCTTCAGGTATTTTTGTTACCCTCTTCAAATTGTAAAGTATTTATTGTCGTTGTATTATATGTTACTCGGATTTAGTTTATATACTCCCTTTTTTTTTTTAAAAAGCTATGGGCAACAGAAGTCTTATTCATTTTAATAATCACTTTTTTATCTCCAAATCTGGTGTTAATACTCAGATTCGTCTAATTTTCCTACTGAAGCTAAGTTATGTCCGAAATTGGGAATGTAAATTGACTTACCTTTATCAAAAATTTTTAAATGACCGGCTTGAGAAGCATTTGTATAATCGTTTATTTTATTTATTGTCTCATTTTCTTCTTTTATATTATTAGGTAATTCCTTGTTCTCAATGATATGCGAATAGGGCCGCGGAGTCGAGAACTAAGTTGTAATCTTTTACTTTCGTGAAACATCATACCTTTTCGATATGACCAAGTTTATTACAAACTCTTCATTTCCCCTTCAACTGTTGCATATGTAGTTGTAACGGTTATTTTTCTGGAACAGTGTCATTTTATTTAAAGGTTTGCAAAATTTTAACTTTGGCGTTAAGACAATGTAGTATTATGGTGGTTCGCTTATATTTGTTTCTTGTCTCTGCTTGAAGAAGGAAATTATAAATGTAGTTGTAATTTAAGGGTTCATGGTTGTTACTAAAATATTGCTCCAGGAAAATTTTTTCATAGTTAAATTCGTCCCCGCTTCTATATATAAGAGCAATAGTTTTGTGAAAAGATATTATTTTAGATATGTGGGGTGCGCTAAATCAGGAATAGTACGTTGCTCTTGTATTTGTTGGTCAAGGAAATTAAGTTGCTGACATATTTTTGTTGTACAGATTCTTATTCTATTTTGAAGATTGTGCACAATTCATGCATAAATCACATAAAAGTAAAATCAAAGATTTCCGTCCGTAAACACATTTTTGTAAATTCATTTGCTTTTTCTGGGTGCAATGCATTTATTGCTTCGAGTTTGCTCAAAACTTCCTCGTGTAAACTGCTCAATTTTGATTGTATCTTAAAAGCTGTTTTTTGCAATTTTTTTCATAGGAAGGAAGCTAGATTTCTCCAACTTTTTCATTGTAAAAAAAAGACCTTGTAAATTGTAGCAAGCTGGGGTAACTTTGATATAAATGATCGATGGTCGCAGTTGAGTAGGTTTCTGTAATAGTTAAAAATGCCAGCAGAGTGTGGCATGGTGTGTTTGAACGTTTGAATTTACTGTGCTCTGTAATTATGAAAGTAAAGAGTTCGCGCTTATAACGTATTAGTATTTAGAGAAAAATATAGAAATAATGAACAAATATAAAGAATATACATAAGTTTAAATAAATATAAATAAAAAAGAAATAAAATAAAAAAACAAAATAAAGAAACAAGGAGACACTATTAGATTAACCATTATGGTTGTTGTTATTCTTTTAAGTTTAATATATCAGATATCAAAATAGATTTGAACAAGTTAGTGCAAACGCATCTCTATAAATGAACATTTTCCTGTTTATTTATTATGTAAAAGAATTTAAACAAATGCTGGATAAGCTTATCGAATGTATATATAAAGCAAATACTGACCTCTCGAATAAAAAGAATTCCCTACTCTTTTTCTTCGTTTTTTCTTTCTTTCTTTGTTACTTTTATCTTATTTGTGTTAGTGCGTGTTTTCATATTTATATATATGCCACTACCTTTTAACATTAAATAGTCTAAAGTATCTGTATTAATTTATATATCATTGTTTATTAAGGACTGAATCAAATACTTGTTTCAATAGAACGCTTTAAATTTTCATTAATTTTTTTTAAATCTTGTTAAGTTACCCCGACCTCACCATAACACGTGAAGTTGGGTTCCGCCCTAACCGCTTGCCTAGGCATTGAAGGTCCGCGACAGCCTATTGGTGCAAAATCTCGTTTGGAGTAAGAGGCATCCCATATCAAGCAATTTAAGGGTCTTTTTAAAAAACCGGTAATAGTAGTTCAAAACTAAAGAAAAGATAACTAAATTTGTTTATTATTTACACATATTTATACTAGAGTATATAAAACCAATTTTACACAGGGCGCCTCTAAGCAACTAAGAGCGATTTAGGTGTTTCTATTTGCAGTAGAGATTTACCCGCTGTAAAATATTTCGTTGAACAGGTTTGAAGGCTTCGGGGAGGCCAGAAAACTGGGTATGGTATCCGATCTCTTTTTGGTGGGATATAGCAATTTGAATCATTAACTCTGAATTTCCTACTTGCTACGCAATTAACTAATCTTCGCTAAAAACTCACCGCTGACCCACAGCCCTCAAGGACAAGTGTGACACCATTCTAAAGATAATTACTGGAGGGCTCCAACCCTACGAAAACAGAGAAAATAACATTAAGCACTGGAAGTCATGATTTATGCGTAGTATGCAGGTAAAAAGGCGTGGACTACAGCCAGATTGTAACAAGTTGAACCTCGTTATTTGCATTATGACGTTCATGTGTCCAAATTTTATATAAATAAGGCGTACTCGTCGTCATCAAGATCAGTAATTGTGGCCTGTAATGGTTAAAATCGGATCCTCGACACTAATTTTACGGGTCAATACTTCAAATACTAGGCAATACTGGCATTGTTTCGGCTGTAAATTAGGTATATATCCAATAGTCTATTTATTAGTACCAAATTATACCTAAATTTTTGTTCGATTAATAAACGGCAAAATCCTGGGGACTAAACATTTGTAATTATAGGTATTGATATTTTGCACAGTATTGTAGCAGTGTTGGCTGATTTGTACTATCAATTTGCGTTATGTTGTTGAAGTATGTTCACCTGATGAGTATCGCGGGCTTGCATGTGCTCTTTTTGCACGTGTTATTCACCTTCACTTTCTTTCTTAATCAAAAATATTAACACGTAACCATCTAGGAATTAGATATGCCTAAATTGTTATATAAATAAATTGATATTGACGTTTAGAACAGGAGCTATTATATAATAGTGTTAATAAACTAACTTTATTACATGATATATATAATTGTGTAAAAATAAGGATTTTGCCCTTATATTTTAAAAAAAACAAAGTACTTATATATAAAAATAATTTGTGACTTTTGCGAAAATTACAAAAGCCTGCATAATTTCTCTCTCTCATTTAGTAATATTTTAAATACACTTTTGACTAGCGGAATTATGACTTAAGATAATGGCACTAGTTTGTAAACTTAATGGATAAGCTTGCTACCATAAATAAATTAATGAGAGTGTGAACCGATTAATAGTAGTCGTATAAAAGGCTTATAGGCTATGGTACCTCAAACTTGACCCAAACAAATTTAGAGTGGTTCCAAGGGTTCGAGGTAAAAGGCTACCCTAAAAATTAAATTTGATACATTACTAAACCTTTTATGAAGCAAATTTTTAATATTTTTTTTGAAGTGAGACCAGTTTATATATATATATTCTTTATATAAGAGAATTTTATATGCTATTTCAAAAAATTATTGACTTTAACCTATTTGGTTACATTTATTTACTTTTATGGAAATCCACGCTTGTTATATAAGCACCTTAAGTTATGCAGTTTACATTTTGATCAGTTTTGACAAGGTGTGTGTCAAAAAAGGGTAAATTGAGGGACATGTCCTTGCGCCTTACTTTAGGGGTTTTGAGAAAACTAGGAACATGGGTCTACGTTAATTTCGTTTTCTTACCTGTGCAATCTTGTCTCTTTAAAATTTTATGTAAAGGAACTGATAATAAAACTAGTACAAAACCCAGAAGTAAAGGCTATTTTCCACATTTGTTAAAACTAAGGAACAACAAAAAAAGCTGAAAAAATATAACATAAATTGTATTGATGCTCTATAATTTAAGTTTAACAGGTTTACTACGTAAAGCCATCATACCATGACCGAGAGTTGTCCGCGTTCTATTTCCATCACGCTATTCTTTTTTTTGGACTTTTATGACTGCTTACTTCATTTGCCCTCTTAAATTCTAATAAGGTTAGGCCCCGTCAGCAGGGCTCAGAATTCTCAAGAAACAGGGTAAATAAATTTTTTCCTTGCGTCCGTGTGACGGTCAGTTAGAGCCGGATAGGTTTTACTGTTAATGTAGATTTATTATAAAAACATCATATCAATCTGTTGCTTATAAGAGATAATAAAGTTACGTTTGCTCTAGCTATGAAACCTTTAGCAGAAGCTAAACATAAACCAAACTTGTGGTTATCTTTTGTTGATATTAAAAATAATTCTATTGAATTTAAGACCATTTCCAGTTGTGCTCACGTCTTAAAGAAGTATTTTTTTTCTAATTTTTTTTGCTAGATAAAGTTCGAGTTCACCAACTCATTTTGTCATCAAATAGGTTACACTTAAGAAATGAACTCCATGAAGATCTTGTTATAAAACTCAAAACCAATCTTGGAAAACAACTAAGTTTTCAGTTGCAAAACGAAAATCTACCTGACGATCTAACTTATAGCGAAGGCCCTTACGCTAACGAGCTATTTAATAGAGTTGGGTATATCGACAGTTTTCTACTTCCGGCTAAAGCCTCTTTTTTTCCCATAGGTTATAACCAGACTTTAATTATTTATTATTAATATTCTTTGAGTAATATATTTCTTCTACATAGGGTAACATCCGTATATATATATCGCTTTAACTTTTTTCAAAACCCTTTCATTTTGACTTTCTAAAAACTTTATTATTTGGTAGCAGAAGATAAAGCCCATTCTCTTGTTTTATTTAGTTGTTTTTTGAAATGATTTTTTTTTAACGCTACTTCTTAGCTTGCCTTCTCTAGCCCATATATTATTTTAAACTCTTGAGCAAAGCACTTTGATAAATAATATTATATTTTTAACTTGTCTTATTATAAGTTTACTCTCTGCAGTTCTTGCATTCAAACCTGATATTGAATGTTTTGCCAACGACCTTGTCGATGAGCGTTTTAACGACACTAACTACCCAGAAAATCCTCAGCAAGAATCATACAAAGCCTTTGACGTGAATGGTACTTGTTCCGAAGCTAATTAAATAACAAGCCTTAACATGTTAAAAAGGCAAAATAACTTTTCTTGCCCACAAATTTAACGAGAGTGAAGGGGATGAATTTCAAGCGGAAATACTAATTAAAAGTTGTGTTTGCAGGTTTAATAAGCGTTTCTATCTGCGTGCAAAGTCAGCTTCCCAGTTTGGCAGGTCCGTCCTTCGGGTGGCTCCTGAGGATGAGGAAATTTATTTTGATAATTGTCGCCTTAACGAGTCATATGTCCGGAATATCACAGTTTATAACTGTTCTGGTGCGTTATGTCTCTTATCTTTATTCATTTAAAGCTACAGTAATGACTTGTTCAAGAAGTGTCGTTTAGGGGACGGAAGCCGCTATAAATTTTATTTTATTTTCTTACTATCTCGTCACTACTATTTTTTTAAGAGGTCCCTCTTTTGTTCCATATTAACGGCGATGGCATTTATAACGATTCTAAGGTTTTTTTGCTTACTGATGCCTATTTATAAGTTTGTAGAATTTTGTCTTTTTATTTCTGAAGCTGTCTTTTGAGTTTTCTGATGCGAGCACTGGCCGTGCTTTAGACATAACTTCTCCAAGTTTTCTTTAAATTTAATTTCCTTTATTTTCTGGTTTATTGTATCCTACATTTGCTTTCCAGTTACCGTCAGCTGCTTCTCGCAGTTTCAGTTGCGCTTAGCTTGTAAGACCCTTCAGGTAAGTGCAAGGCTTACGCGTGAAGAACTTATCATCCCCTTTGCGTTTTCATAGGCAGGTCAGTACAAAACCACTTTCCAGTTTGAAAATGCCAAAGACGAAAAAAACATCGGAAAAGTTGTGGTTCATGCGACTGTTACCTCCACATGCCCTTCCTCTGCGCTCACGGTTACTTAGTTCTTCTTATTTCATATGATGTTATAAATATTTTTTTGTAGTTGAGCACAGTTGTGTTAGATTTTGGAAACTGCTATATCGGCAATCCTGTAATTAAGGTCTTGACTTTTTGCAATTCCACTGATTGTCCTATGGTAAGTCCTTCTCTGCTATTACTGTCCATCTCTTTTTTGCTTAAGATATTCAGGATGTTATCTGTCGCACAGAGCTTCTTCAGCACGGGATTACCATGCACTCTCTGTCTCACATCGACGAGTATTGCTGCTGACTAAACAGCCCATTGATTAGCCTGAATCTCCTTCTCATAGCTCGTCTCGCCTGCAGTATGACCTTAGCGAGAGCGATGAGCAGACATCGATTGAACAGTTTGTTTTGCACGTTAACAAACCGCATTCTGTCGCTATCCGATTCTGTCCAGGTGCTCATCTTTATGTGCGGTAAAAGTTGTGTATTCATAACTTATTTCTAGTTGAGGATGACTTGGACGAGAGTCTTGCTCAGAACTTGTCACTCTACTTGACCCGTCGCCAATTCTGCTTGAAATTCTTGTGTAAAAATAAGAATTCGGGAGAATTATTGGAAACTCGAGCAGTCCAATGCAGTGTATAATTATTCTTATTTAAAATTTGCTTATTTCTACTCATTCTTAATAATTTAAGGCTCACATCTGCAAATCTGTCATCTCTCTATCTACTTTTCACATCGATTACGGGGACGTTGGCGTTGGTACAGTTTATTACTCAAGGTCATTGCGGTTGTCACTTTATATACTCGCTATCTCAATGGTTGTTCTTTTTTTTCCAGCTTTATACTCACCAATCTTTCTGCTTTGAGCGCCGTGCTTTCCGTGGTTTCCCACTCGGCAACAGTTGCTCTCTATTACTTTGAGGGTGATCGAACGTTGTTGGCGCCCTGCAAGGACCTTGACGAGAAAGCAATCCAGCAGGCCACTCCAGGTTCTCAAAGAGCCATATGATTCTTCCTTTGCCGCTGCTCTCTTACCTTTGAGTAGGCAGCAACATTGAGATTGTTATTCCCCCATTTAACTCCGGAAAAGTTTTTGTCCAGCTCTCCCCCAAATTCGTCAACCCTAACTTTAGGTTTATTGTTTCTTTATTATTTTTTTATTATAATTGCGCTAATATTCTTTATTTTAAGAACGCAAATAGTAGTCAGTAATTTGAGAAATAGCTCCAATGATTCGACCGTCATAATCACTGCTAACATCGTGACCCAGCTTTACAGCTTTTACGAGCAAAACTTCTTTAAAGTTATAACATTTGGTATTATCTTTTTAGTTCTATATTCTCCGCTGCCTCTTTTATGTGTCGAAAAAACAAGGTGGGGACGCCCTCTATTTGGGAAATATTGTGGTCAACAACGCGTCTCTTTCTTCTTTTTTACTGAAAAACTTGACGCAGCATACTTTGACCATAAATCTAATTTCGTCTCTTCCCTCTCAGCTCTATTTATATTTGACGAACGTACCGCTTGTTCTTACACTTCTGATCAAACGGTCTCCTTCATTGTGACTGGCAGTTCTCCGCTGGTCAACGCCCGAAAGAGGACTGCACAGCGAGCGGGGTGGGACAAGTACTTGTTGAGGCCATGCTGGACGATATAGAGAAGAGCAGGATGACTTTTCCGCTATCTCCAACTTGCGCAACGTATTGGAGAGTTTTTTCCCTCTCTTTTTCCTTCTTTCTTTACCCCTGCAGAGAGAAAATTTCCGAAAGATTTGCTGTGGACTACTTGGATCTTGCGAGCCACCTTCCGCTTGAAACACGTGGTATGCTTCTCAGTGAAGCTTTGTTGGGGTTAAGCTTATTACTTACAGAAACAGCTCTACAAAAGAAAAGGCTTTTGGTCTCTCACCTCGAGGAAGTCTTGGGCGGCAGTGGGGAGAATATTTCCTCTACTTCTCGGCGGGTGTTTAGACCCGATGATAGGCTCCCCTCACAGGCACACTCTGCGGAGTTTTTGAAAGCGCAGCTCTCTGGACGCTCAGTCCTCGCAGCTCTTCGCTCATTACTTCATATACTTTTTTCCGATCCGTATGGACACGCTATATTCTTTACTTCGTATATATTTGCTGGTGCTACTTTCAAAATAGCGACTTTCAGAAGTTGCGCACTAATGAAGAGGAAGAAGAGTTTATAAAAAAGCTACAGTTCTGTAGACGTGAACTTTCACATTACCTCCAATCTGGTACTGGCTTAGCGTCTTTTCTTTTGAGAATGGTTGATTTTAGCTTTTGTTGAGGTCTTCTTTTACCTGTGAGCACATGTGTTATACCGCCAAAGGGCACTGTGGAAGTGTTTGTCTATTACATGCCCTCTCTGGACAATTATCAGCGGTTTTAGTTATTACTTCTTACTCATGCACCCCACTTAAACAGTCATATTTTGTAAAAGCTCCCCCAAACTTCGCAAAGTCGAGTCAACCATTAATTTTACTCTGGACAGTTATATTGACGGAGATCTAGTTAAACACGTGCCTGATGGTTAGTGACACGTATTTCTATATTCCCTACTGAATGATTCTATCTTCTCTTCTGTCAGTCCCTCAGAAAAGTTCCCTTTCAGTATTCTCTAAGGTTTGCTGCTCATTTATGAAAGTCGGCCAGCGCAATATAAATTTTGGCTATTGGACAAAAAAAAATACCGCCAAAGTCAAGTCTTTGGTTATTTATAACGAATCAGAAGTTCCGTTGCTGTACAAAATAGTAAAGTCTGGGTATAAAACATGCATGACACCCACGTTATATTAATTTTACTTGATTGAACAAAGTTCACTAGCGTCTGGGGATCTGCAGATAAAAACCGGAAGGATGGGACTCATACGCCCTTATGGTTTGAAATTATATACATTCTGTGTTCCCCTCTTATTATTATGTTTTTTTTATCTTAGAAAAGAGGAATGTTGACTTTATATTTAAGCCTACGTTGCCTGGCGTCTACAAGGAAACCCTCAAAATAGCAAACGTTTTGGTCTTCCTTTTTTATGAACTGTTCTTGTCGTCTATGTACGTTCTGTGCTTGCTTGCTTAAGGATCCCGACAACAACCAGCTTGTCACGCTAAAAGCCAATGTTCTTCGCCCCGCTTCTTTTTTTCTGCAATCTCTCATCATAGACTTTAAGAGAGTAGTGGTTGGAGCCCCCTCGCCACCACAGAGGTTCCTCTCCTTTTTATTTTACATCCTTAGAAATTTATTTTTCATTTCTTTCAGGATTGTGATTTCGAATAACACGAACGTCCCCAAAAACTTTATCATCGAAGCAACTCGCGTTTTGTCCACGTGCGCGGCGGTATATCCTGTCTTTGACTTCGAATTGGTAACATGAGCCTCGTTGCTTTCCACTGGTTACTTTTTATGTTGCCGCAATGAAGGACGAAGAGCAGATCGCCTTATCCGAAAAGAATATGGAGAGAATTGAAGTTTTGGAACAGAAATTAAAAATAGCTGCTCGTAAAGGTACATTACCTATAACTTAGATTCCGCTTACTCTATAGAGAATTGTAGGGCACGTGGACAAGGAAATGAAAATAAACGACGAACTGAGCAAGCTGCGCTGTAAGTTTTCTGTGGATGGGGTTTACCAGGAGATAACTTTCCTTTAGCTGGTGTAGAACGAGTTTCAGTGGGCCAAGTTGAGGATGCCACCACCGCTTACGCTCACACTTTTAAGAAAATGGAGAACGGAATAGCCGTATTTGTGGCTCCCCACAGCGCGCAGACCAGTAAGTCCTGCTCCAGCGCCTCGAGGGTCAATATCGCTTCATTGCTCATTCTTCTTTAATTAGTTCGAGCGACTGTCCACTTACGCGAACTGGAAGATGAGGAGCAGAGAAGGGAGCTATACCAGCGACAGCGCATGTCTCAACAGAGGGAGACATGGAAATGGAAGCAAATTATGAAGCAGTTCTATCCCGAAAATTTTAAAGACTCGCGGTCTCCTTGTAAGCCCGGAGAAGGTCTTGCCGTCCCGTCCCTCGGGGACACCGCCTTCTATCATAGAAATAGTTACGAACTTATCATTGGTGGTCTAATCGTGAGAGAGGTCTTTTTAAGAGGGTTTGCTACCTTTTAGTTAATAAGGCCATGCGTCATTTTTCACAGGAAAAGTACGCTGGAGTTGTAAAAGTTATAGCGTACAACATATGTTGTTGCAAGGCAGAGGAGCTCTGTCCGCCAAACCTCCACTACATTGGGCTACATCCCTACTCATCTTTGGAGGTTTTACCCGCTCCTTCTGGAGAATACGAGCAGGACAATGACGGTGCGCTCTGTCAAGCTCCGCCCTGTGGAAAAGGTTGCGGGGAAAGATACTTTACGGACTCCTCCGTGACGGTTCACGAAATGGTCTCTACCGACCCTCCCTATTTTGCGGTGGAGCCTAGTGAATTGAACCTGGACACACTCTCTGTAGGCCACATGGTTTCCGGTTGCAAGGCTACTAGTACCGGTGGTTTTTCACTTTCTAACTTTGATAACGAAGGAGAATTCTGTATAATTAATGAAAGCGTCTTTAAAACTTTAACAAATTTTATTAACTGTGAAAGTTTGTCTCAAGACCTTCATCTCTCTGTAGACAAGACTTGTCCTCCTCGTAAGTTTAGTTATTTTGCTAACAATATACAACCTCAAACCCGTGCTTACAGAACATTTGGAAGATCTAAAGGCTTCTACGGGCCGGTTAGCTTTCCTTTGGATATTACCAATTATTACTATGATCTGTTTTTTTTCAGTGTCATTGGCAATTTTTTTTTTACCTCGAATATTCCGACCCCCTGTAAACTGCAGTCATGTTAGCTTTCAAACTCTGAGGCTATTGGCACCTCTTTATAGGTACGCAATCCGATTCAGAAGAGAAGGCTTCGATGAGAGGCGTTTTGCTTTCCTTGCAGTGTTACGAGGGAACGGGTATTCATTTCAGAACTTTATCTATATTTTACTTAAAAGAAACTTTCTAGTGGCTCCGTTGGAAAAATTAAGAATACCTTTTTTACTTCAAAGTTATAATGAGGTTGGTTTCAAAAAGTTATCATTGCTTGTTCAAGAGTCTGGATCTACTCAGCAGAGACGAGTAAATCTATCAGGTGCACATTTACAATGTGGCTTCTGTATAGTTACTCACGTCCAAAAGTTCACATATTTCGACCTGAAGTTTTTCTTCTGCCTGATTACCCCCAGCCTCGTGATAATGCTAGAAGCACCCCGCCTGAGCTCATCTTGGAACACTGCTATATCCGCTCGGGTGGCGCCAATTTAGTTCATCAAAAAATAAGGAATTGACGCCACATGTTTGTAGACCAACTGTATTGCGGAAAAGTCGAAATTGCTCTGGAGTCCATATGGGAAACTACAATATATATTACTGGGTCATCTAACCTGAACAAACAGGTCTTATTTACTGACTCATTGGAGCATTTTCTTTTTTTCCATACCCTCATATATGCTTAGGTTTGGTTATTTTGCGACGAAACTTGCGCAAAACTACTGGAAAATGTTCCTCTTCGGCCGTTCGAAAGGATTTATGCGTACGTGTGTTTTAAGCCGAAAGTTTCTAGTGAAGAGTTGCAGATGGGAAAGTGCAAGACTTTAAAGGGCAGTGTCCGGTTTCATGTGCGTTTTTCGTTACAGTGCGCCGCGGAAGCCCTTAACTTTTCCACATTAAAGGCGTACGCTAATCCGGTGTCCGCAACTGGAAAGCCATCTTTGCTATCTGAACGCTCTTTGGGCTTTCGTGTCGTTTTTGGTAAAAGTTTTCTTGCAGTGAGTAACTCTTCGCTTTTTCTTGGATCTTCTTATACGCCCGGAAGAGTGTAGGGTGTAGTTATTCTCTTATGAGGCACTCAAAAAAACTTTACCCTTAATTTGTATTTAGCTATTCAGCGGGCTTCACCTTAAAAAATTTAAGTTCGGACCTTCCCGCCACTTTTAAGCTTCTCGCTCCGGAAGGCGTGACACTTATAGAAGATGCAGGAACGCTTTTACCTGCCAAAGCGGTCCATTAGAACACATAAGATAATTTTATTTTTAACCCTCAATCTTTCCTTTTAGCACCCTCAAAACCAAATGTTTATTTCCTTTACGTGTGCGAGCTCATCGTACGGCCTATTTAATAGAGAGATACAAGTCGTCAACTGTTGTAATCCTGAGCAAAACTTGTTAATCACGGTCAGCTTGTATGTGGACGACGGCAGTCTCCACTGTAGTTTGGTACGAAGCCGCTTTTCTCGTGCGCTAAAGGACTAGTAAACCTGCTCCTGTGTAAAGCCGAAGTGTTGCGATGTGAATTGTTTGCTGGACTTCCAGACGTTATATCTGACGCCCAATGTAGAGTCCTCCTCGCTCCAACCCAATGTCTATCTGGTTGCTTTTTACCCTTTTGTTGTCTTCTTATTTTTTTACACTCTCCTTTAGCCCAATGCTGTATGGGTTGCCGGTTTTCAATATGTCCGTGATTCACTAAGCCGTATTCACCCATTTGTCACTTTGAGTATTCATGAAAAACGACAGGTCTAGTTATTCGTTATCAATGAACCCTCAATTATATTTTCCTTTAATTTTCAGTATGTGAGCTTTAGCCTTAAAAACAATCTTAGTAGTCCAGTGATTTTGGTTCCGATGTCTGATATGAAGCTACAAGTTGTCTGGAAATCGCTGCAGAGTAATACTTTTTTCTTTTATATTAATATTTTTTTGTGTTAACGGTATGCCCTTCTAGTAAAAGAATTAGACCAGCCGAATTTATATAAAGAAACGGCGAGATCCAATTACTTTACTGCCGGAAAGCTTTATGAACTGCGCGCAGGAGAAGAGGTATGCAGGCTAATAATAGCGTTAATTCTTCTATGTTGTTTTATCGGGAAACTCTTAGGTCAACGTATTTGTAAGCATGCCATCACCGGCGGCCGTAACCCCCGAGCAGTGGAAAGACCTTTTGACCCGTCGCCCCTATAAGCATCATGGCTGCTTATTTTTTGAACGCGTCAGTACTCGTGACGTGAACTTTTCCCCCTGTTCCCCCTCCACCTGCTGTGTCCAAGTCATTGATATTCATTGCGTCTACGGCCTTTCCACTATGACGGTATCGCCGAAGATAATAAGGTTCGGAAAGGTATTGGCTGGGGAAAGTAAGCTTATTCCCTTAATTAATATTATAATGATGCAGATGGGTCACGTGAACTCGTGGCAGAAGGAGAGGATACAAGTCACTGTCTGTAACCCTTCCGAAATGCCACTGGCTTATATGTTCTCTAAAAATTCGTATCTTACAATACTTAGTTGGTATCATAATTTTGTTTTTCTTTTCATTACTGCTGACTAAAAACTTTTGCTTTACACAGCGACAAGTTCGGCGACCAGGTTTTTCCCTTGGACCAAACTTTGTACCTCGAGGCAAACTGTTCAGCGGACTTCACCGTTGAGCTCGACCCCAAAAAGTTGCAGTCCGAGTCCAGAGTAGGCGCGCTGAGAGTTGCAGCGTCTTTACCTTTTCACCTTTCGATGTTTTTTTACAGTTTACCTTTGAGACGGCCTTGGAGTTGCTTGATCTGAATGATACTTCAACTATTTATAGGCTACCAGTTCATGCGCAGCTCACCCTCTTCGACTTGAAATTTGGACGCATCGGGTCTCTGTTCTCGGGCTGCCCGTATGTTTTTCCCTTTATTCTGTATCTCTTCATAATAGAGCAGAGAAAGAAATTGTGCTCCCGCCCTTGTTTTACCCGACGCCCTCCTTTAGCCGTCCTTGTGAGACATGGTTTACCTTTAGAAACATTCGCGATCTTCCCTTTGTCTCGAGCGGAGAGACTAGCTTGGAGGACAACTTTATTCTAAATTCAGTCTATACAAGCCAGTTCAGTATAACTCCTGTTCTGGAAGAGGTGGTTCAAGGCTTCGTTTTCTTAGAGGTTTGGCCTTTTGGTATCTTTCGATATTCCTCCTCCCCTCGAACTTACTTATAGCTTTACTCGCGCTACTCGAATGCGCCTCTTCCAAAAGAAATTTCTCTGGGCAGTTTAGAGGTTGTTGAAGCGCGAGTCCGTCTAAGTCTTTTACCTGAACTTCGGTTACTTTGCCGTAAAGCTGTGTTTAAGCAGTTTTTGTAGCGCGTCTGCTTTTCTCCAGTTTGCCTCAGCGTCTTTTAGACTATCTTGTGAGCGACCATCCTGTCCTCGTGGGCCAGCTCTGCTTTCGGTTGCCCACTTGAATTTTACCTTTTATATTTAATCATGTAGTGCTTTTAGGTCATTGGCGGACAGGGAACCCCTCCCGCCAGAGATTGTCAGGGTCTACGCTCGCATTGTTGAAGGGTACATAGGTTTTCACCTGACCTCTTTAGAGGTTAATTTCTTTGCAGGCCCACCTTTTCTATACTTCCAAAATCCATACAATTGTCGTCCTTGAGCAGCTACCCCTCCGACTTTGGAACTGACCACACCGATGACGCTCAGCAGGTTCTGTGCAATTTATTTGGCTCCTCTTTAGCGCTATACTCAATCTACTTACAGGAAATAAGACCGAAGTTTCCCTCGACCAGTAAACAGTTTCTCATTTTGAACCTTTCCAATGAGATCTCGTTGTCCTTTCGAGTCAAGCTCAGGGCCCCTTCGGATCGGGAGTGCGATGGTTTCTTATAATTTTTTGTGGTCACATGCAAGATTTTAACTTGGCCTCTGGCGTAGAGGAGAACGCCCTGCTTTGTGTCCTTCCCGAATGTGGGGTAATAGCGCCAGGCAATTCTCAACGAATAGAGGTCCGTCTACGGCGGGCAAGGGTGACAACGTCCTGCACCTTGAAAATCGATATTATCGATCTCTTTGCCCGACAAGGCCCTTATAAATCTACCTCCGTTCGACTAATTTATAAAACTTAAACATTGTGATACTGCAGGCATTGCCCAGCGCTCCTTGACGGTAAAAATCCTCTCGGGCTCAAACTTAGCGTTGGACCAAGTCCAGAAAAGTACACTGGTTTCGAGTCCTCTTTGAAATCAGCTGTCCTACTTGCCTATGATATTAGAGCAACAGCCTTTCCCTGTTACCTCTAACAGAAGTCCGTCCTTTCCCTTAGAGCAGGTCTTCATCAGGGGTTACACCTTTATTTTGCGTTTTACCATCTGTGGTGGTTAGTGTATCGAAGGCGATCAACTGCCCTTTTTGTGGGTTCGGTGTCGCAACTCCAAGTTTAGCTCTCTGTATCCAATTATACTGCCTTCCTCTTATTAATTTTTACATAAGGCCAATTATAAACCACTTGTTAATTGAAGTCAACATCGGCCAACAGACCTATAAAACTGGTCCCAGGCAGCGAGAGATCCTCATAGGTTGTTTCCAGTTCATTGTGCTGTGAATTGCTTCCTATTCTGTTTTTTCTCTGCCAGAAAACGGCTCTTTACAACATACAATTAGCTATCGGGTGCGCCCAGCTCTGGGCTGTTGCAGCACATGGCTCTCATTTAAAAATACTGAAGGGTGAGTCTGCTTTCGTTATTACTACTAATCCCGTTTTATTCACTTAATATATGTATGGCAGGACTCTTGCGCGGCAAGAAGCCCATCGGGTTATGCTGACTTTGTCTACCGACTTCTTAGGAAAGTTGGTGGCTTACGTACTGGTGGAAAACTGCTCCAATTTTTGTGACTTCATCACGTTGCGTGTTCAAATGGAGGTTACCATGCTCCCCGCTGAAGAAAAAGGGAGCCCGGAGTGCATGAAAAACTTTTTGGGGGGCGGGCACCTGTCTTTCCTGAAGAAGAGCTTTTCCCATTACACGTGCCAGTCAAATTAATATGTTTTTTAGTAATTCTCTCTCACGGGAGCATAGGGAATTTTTTGAAGTTATAGTTCCTGGCGGCACGCTAGTTCCTCCGTCAAGGCATATCCTCAACTTGGCAGATCTTTATGCTTTGAAGTAAGCATTTCGTGTTGGGAAAGCGAGTTTACTTTCTAATGGTCATCAAAGAATACATAAAAGCCGGTCGTTTGTGATAAGAAATCACTTTTCGGTGCCTGCGGAATTCACCTTTAAATGGGGTAGCTTGGATTTTGGGGGTTGTGAACTTCATTTGTCCCTTTCTCAGGTCTGCACACTCTCCCGCATTCGTACATGTCAGCCAATTAATAACTAGGACTCATTGGTCCTCTGCGACTCTGTCTGTGTTATGGCCCAATCAAACATTCGAGTGTATTTTATACTACTTCCCAGGTTCTCTTGTAATAGCGAAAGGGAGGAGAAAACCTTTGAGCTCTGTAAAACTCTATTTTGTTACCAACACAAATTTGCCTTCACCTAATGCTTTCAGCTATCAATTGCAGTTTGGTCAAAAATTGCTGTCGTTATATTACATTAAAAGCTACCATTCGTAGCAGTTCTTTCTCCCTTTCCCGGCATTTTTTTTCTTTTCTAGCGGGTACTAATTATATTTAATTAAAGTTTATAATTTTTGAAAATTGTTGTAGATAGTTTATCTGGTGATATTATCATTGCTTCCCCTAAAGAGGCTTTGTTAAGCGTGTATAATAACACAAGTTCCCCGATAAGGTCTATATTTTATGGATGTATCGTTTTAAAATCATAACTGCGTAACCTAAACAAGTTGCTTCGTGCGGACTTTTACAAGGCACTTCACTGTTGTCAGGGCTGACGAGCAGTCTTGCGAACATGGTATTAATATATTTATCTGCATTGTTTTTTTTTTTCTAAACTTCTGGAATCATTATTAGACGTGGATTTAAAGTGTATAGGCATTGAAGCTAGCAGCTCAGTTGACCTGAAAGTCAAGCCGAACTGGGAACTTATTAGGCGCAATCAAGATAAATTGTTTGCCGGAGCTTACAAGGAGGACTACTTTTCGCTATGCAGCGCTGATAAGGACAGGTGGTAGCAGAGACCTTTCTTTGTTCGTAAAAGTGTATTGGAACTTGTACAGGTTAACTGAAAGGGAGACGGTTCGCATCTGTTGTTCCTTTGGTCTGCATGGATTTCACACTCCGGACGGTCCGCTGTACACATCTCTAAAGGCAGCGATACTATGAAAGTTGCACAAAAATATAATATAGTTACGATTCACAAACTAACTGACAGTGCGTTCTAAACTTCGAAAAACTTGAGGTTTCCGCTTTGTTGTTCCTCCAGAATTTGAGAAGATTTTTATATCACAATTTTCAAGAGTTTTCTTGTGTCACCACCGTCCAAATGACCCACGAGAACGTTAGTAGAGCAAAAGCAATTTTTTTTGTGTATATTAAATAAAGTTACTTTATTCATCAGGACCTTCCCAAAGCAGTTCAAGCACAAGAAGAAAAACTTTACAAAGAGTTTGTCTTGCTTGTAGACGACTTATTGTTCTTGTGTCTGAACTCTAACAACTTGTCGAGTTCCTTTTCGTTGGCAGCCTACTTTTTCAGGTGCGTTATTATCCCTCTGTTTTTTAAGGAATTAATAAATTTTTTTAATAGTGTCGTTTTTATAAAAGAAGTTTCAACTTGTGGTGAAATAGGTCGTATTATAAAGGAAAAATGGGTAGTTTACAATCATTATCGTTCGTAGTATCAACCATTCATTTATATTTATTGTCAATATCAGTTTACATGGCTCAGCTATTTTCATGGACATTTCCCCGTCACTTGCTTCCCTGAAATTTTGTGTTTAACTAAGTTGTACGAAATACTTGCTCCAAAATTCACACCTTCCACGAATGCTTAACTTTGTTTAATCAATCTCTTTTTACTCTTAAATAAAACTTTATGTATTGACTTTAAATAAAATATATAAGTTATACCATTTTACTTATTACCATATTTTAATTTTTAGCTAGTAAATACCAGGTTTTGAAAAAACTACTCCCGAGCTGTTTTTTAAGAAAATTCCTATTACTATATTATTTTCTGCCGCTATAAAGTATAAACATTTTTCAATGTAAGCCTTTAATGTAAGCCTTTCTACTTTGTTAGTGGCCCCTAATATAGACATTCTAGTAAAGTTTAACCTATCAGCTTAGCTACAATATCACAGTTGACACATTAAGCTCACACCTTCTTCCTGGTCTTCTCTTTATTTTAAGGACATCGCCAGCTTTAGTTAGAGCATTCACTCAAGTCCTTTTATTTATGTAGAGGAGTACCTTCTTTCGTAGCTCTGGTAACTAAAAAAGTAATTTTCGTAATAATTTACTGAATCTAAACTATATTATGCGAGTTTATGTATTAGCTGGAATATATACAACTAAGATATAACACTTTTAGAACTTTCACTAAACCAGTTGTAATAATAGCTAAAATTTGTAGTTGGAACTAACGTGGTGGCGTCTGTAACGAATTGTTTTCTACCTACGGGTCCTATAAACCTACCTTATTTGCAAAATTTGACATAAAGTGCAGCAAAGACTGGCACAATAGAGAAAAGGTCTATAAAAAAATCACTTGAAGTCGGGATAACTCTGTAGTTTCTAACCACCTTCAGAAGATGCCAAACTTTTGTTTAATGATATTTTGCATATCTATAAGCATAAGTCCACACTTTATACGACTTGTTTCATTTGAAAGTGTATTGGAACATTTCGTAGACAAAAAATTAATTTTTACAAGTTTCTAAATAAGAGTCCGAGGTCCTTAGGTGCGAAGTAGGGCCAACATATGAAAAAACACATCAAATGACTCCAATAAGCTAATAAATAAATTTTTGGATAACCAAGTTTCTTTAACACTTTGGTTATAAAACTTTCAAAGTTGGCAAAATGTTTTCTCGCTTATGAAAATGGTTTACTTGTTACTTGCTTTAGTTTATAATCAATAAAGTGACTAGCACCTAGAGTGACTTAATATCTACCCCGCTGTTTTCTCAATGTCGTCTAGCTCGCAATCTTCTTTTCATTGAACCAGGGAGCTGAGACGCATTCAATAACATATTTACTCAAATTTAAAAAAAAAGAAATAAGTATTCCCTTCAAAACAACTGCAAGCAAATGTCGGCTTGAACTAGTGGTTATAAAAAAGTCTTAAAAAATTCCGGTTTCAATTATGGAAGCTTAATCTTAGCATCAGCTTTATTGATGAAACGGGCTTGCTCAATCGTGAAAATAACTATAAGCAATATAACTAGGAGCTGGAGTCGTGTGGTTGGCTCGTTCATCACCTGCTTGAAGGGGTCCAAAGCAGTACTTGCAGTAAAACATGGGATTCTCTAAAGCCTTTTCATCATTATAAACAACTTTACTAAAAAAAGAATAAATAGTTTTCAAAATATTGCTGTAAATAGAAAACCTCGCTGGGAACTTTAAACAGATGGAGCACTTCCTCATTGAAAGTTTTTCTTTGATAATATTGAGCGGATAGCTGCTTTTCCAGATACTATCCGTTTCGTGCAAAAGTCTGACATGTTATAGAATATTCACACTATAATCACACAAAATAAAATTTATAATTAAAAATACATGGTACACACCTGACCTTAGAAAACTTTAATATGTGCTGGCAGTCGCCTTGATGTTGGTAGAGATACGGGCACCCTAAGCGGATAGAAAGCTCAAGAAAAGTCACGAAATGCATTGGCGCTTTCCAGGTTTTCATTTTATGAAAGTCTGGATGCCTGACCTGCTCTGCCCAGGCCAATATGTCCCTTTATATAATTTCCTAAAGAAAGTACAAGGCTAAATAAAACAAGTACTTGCTATAATCCTGATAGCAAAGAGAGTTCTCCGAGTCAACACCAAAGTCAATATAAAAAGTATTCTCAATGTAAAAAAACTCAGAATTCACGGTTAAAGCACCTGAAGAAGGTCAGTAAATAAAGCGTATCACCAAACATCCTAAACAAACAAGTTATTGAAATCAACAAGTAAACCTTCGTTAAGGTTATTGACACAATATATGAAGTCTTTCAAGCGTTTTAAATTCTGGGTGCCGTAAACTTCAAATCTTTGAGAAAACCTACGCCAGAAATAACGGGACAACTCAAACACAACGACTATTACAGGAAGCTTACTGGATAGATAAATAAACTAATAAAAAATGAAATCGATAAAAACTCAAGAGCCATACTTTCCAGCCAGAGAAAAAACATCCACAGTTAAAATAAGTTCATCCTTCTCAAGCCTCTCAGCCGAAACCTCACAAAAACAATATATATACTGTGTTGAGTATGATAAACTTTAAATAGTAAAAGAGATTTAAGATAAAAAAAACTAAACATATTTTTATTATCAGGTGTCATGTTAAAAAATTGGCGACTATCTTTTATAAAAAGGTATGAATAAGTTAATTTCAAGTTCTCCTATAAAAGACGAAAAAGTTCTACTTTAATAGAACAAAATAACTAACAACCTAGAAATGGTAGCTAATTAGAATGCTCCACTAAAGTAGAACGAAAAAATAAATAAGAGTTATATTTCAACTCTTTTACGATCGTGGCCAACCCGAAGTAGATTACCCTGACCTAGCCGAGTAGACTATAATATTAATTCATAACTTTTACCTCTGAAACAGATTCTTCATTGTGTTCGTTGACTTCCAGCAACCAAAAAATAAAAAAATAATTACAAACAAAGTGACTTTTAAAAACTTAGCTTGAAAATAAATACCTATTAAAGAGTTATTATAGGCCACCCATCTACTCCACTGAAAGTATTCTTCAGCACTAAAAGCATGGGGAGTGCAGGAATTCAACTTTTCTAAACAGCTTAAATCACCTTGAAGATTGTTTTTATAAACGGAAGCAAAAAATGCACTTTCAAGTTTATGAGACCTAATGCCAAAAAACATAAAAATACAATTTTCTATTGGAAACAGTAAACTTAGCTTAACCCGCACCTCCTTTCCATCTGAAAAGTTTCATCATTTACCTTATACTTATTAATTTCATTAATGACATGCGTCCTAAATTCAGAATTTAGTAATGTCAGGTCTAATAAGGGGCCAAATTGTGAAGCTTCTTCAGTTCTACATATTCGCCGCTTTTTGTTGTTCAAAAAGAAACTCATGAAGTTTTACCACTGTACCGCTTTAGAAATTTAACGTCACTTTGGAATTTTATCGGCCTTCTTGCAGAAGATTGGTCGCGTGCTAAATTTTGCAACTGCTTTTCTAATGTTTCCACGCGTCTTGGAGGAAAAGGATGTACACCATCACTGCGCTTTTAAGTAGTTTGCTTATTGTATCGTTTGAAGCGGAGGGTTACTATGAGCAAGCAATTTTTTACTAAGTGGCTGAAAATTGAAATTTTGTTGGACTTTCTATTAGTATTAGGTTACAATTCAAAAAGCACTCGTTGTTATGTTTTGTTTATATTTTATAATTTTGGTTATATTTGTTTATACTTTAAGGTTGTCACAAGAGGTTATAAATGTATAGCACTTTAGCTGATACGAAGGTTTAACATAGTCATTTTTACCTTTTATTAGGGTTTTTCTGTTAAACTAACCAAATGAGCGTTAATATTAACACCAGTGTAGAAGGTCCGTCGTATTTTTCAACATTATATTATCTATTAATATTTTTAAAAATTTAGATCAGTTTTATCGGTACAAGATGCCAAAACTGATCTCTAAAATAGAAGGTCGCGGAAATGGCATAAAAACTGTGATCGTTAATATGGCCGAAATTGCTAAATCTCTTAGTTGTCCCCCCTCCTGTAAGTATTTTTTTCTTTTCGAAGTTGTATATTGAACTAAATTTATTACAGACCCCACAAAATTTTTTGGCTGCGAGCTTGGCTCTCAAACAGTATTAGACGATGCTAATTCACGCTTTATTGTCAATGGCAGTCATCAGGATCAAGTAAGTTATTATAGCCACTTAAAAATTAGTTTTAACTTTTTATATTATAAAACTATAAGACTCTCAGAGAACTCCTTGATAAGTTTATTCGAAAGTACATCCTTTGTCCACACTGTGATTTACCAGAACTTGTTACGGTATTTTGAGTAAAACATATGTTTATAATGTATACTCGAATTTTTTATCTACTTTTTAAATTTCTTAAAGGGTGTAAAGACAGGCCTATACCAAGGTTCCTGTGGTGCCTGTGGTTGGGCGGGTCCTTTAGATAACTCTCATAAACTGATATCTTATATTCTAAAGAATCCACCTAATCCCTTTGGCCTGACCAGAAGAGGTCTTCTATGTGACACTTACTTTAGGATATGTTATTTATTACTCTCTCACAGGGAAAAGTGATAATAAATCAGAGAGAATGGGAAAAGGCCAGCCCAATAAAAAAGAGAAGAGCAAGAGCAAAGCTAAAGAATGTATTGAATAATAACGTTACTCAGAGCTTTCGTGTATAGTTAACTTTGAAAAACTGAGCATAGCATATACGGAGCGCTCCGAACATCTTCCCATTGAGCATCTCAGCAGAGAAAAAAAGTTGGGAGTTGAGGGCTATAGTGGCGACGACGATGACTGGGTTGTTGACACTAGTGAAGAAGCAGTTCGAAGGAGGCGGGAGGCGCACAAGGCAAGCCTTAGCAACGCCGTGAAGGACATGATCGCTAACGAACTCGATTACAGTAAGCTAATACTCTTGAAACTGTTAGTTTATAGCGCACTGATCGCGAATAGTACAACTGCCTGCCGCGGAGCGTTTGAATTTATTCAAAGACTATATCAGTGACGACTCGGTTACTGTTAAGGCCATGTTCGAGGAAGCGGTATAAAATTCCATTTTCAAAGTTTTTTATGTATTAATTTTTTTTAAGAAACGTCTGGATGTGATGGATTCCGGAATTACGGCTCTTGTCGAGAGCAAACTGAACTCTAAAGACATCATTCAGTCTATTAAATCTAATATGCCTCTGCTTTTAACAGTTAGCAATATATATCTTTCCATTGGTTTTAGGCTAACGTTTGCTATAAGTTTTGTCAGGATAAAGCTTGCGAACAGAAGGTGTTATTAGGTGCCTTAGAACGGTTATCTTATTGTCTACTGTATTTTTTATCTCTGTCAACTTAAATGGCGCTTTAGTCTCGTTGGAACCACACGGCCAGAACATTTACCAAAACTTAATCAAATTTTGCAACTCTTGTACGAAAAAGATGTTTTAGAAGAAGGAGTTATTATTAGCTGGGCTCACCAGTTGTCTTCGTCCTATACGACGAATAATGCCTTGTTTAAGAAAATATTGCGAAGTGCTTCAAAGTTTATAGAATGGCTTGAGTGCATTTGCTTTTTTTAAAATATTTGTTATCACGATTTTTTTAAGTAAAATAACTGTAGGAACGCTGAAAGTGAAACAGATAGTGAAGAGGAAGTCACCTTTTTGCATGGTATATAAAATGCTTTGTGACTTATAAAAATTTTCTAGTGCGTTAATGTTCAGTAGATCTTGATAAAGGCAAGGAGTTTGAACGAAAAGTCTACATATCGTTGGCAGACACTGGAAACGCAAGTAGTGCGCGTGATGAACCCTGCGACACAGACGTTGAAGAATTAGATATTGACAGCATATAAGGATTTACAAGTTTGTCGGATATAAAAGTACAGCGTCACTGCCTGTAGGTAGTCTTATAATAAGAGAAGAGAATTCGTGTGCTTATACATTTATAAACAATAAAATTATTAAGTTGTTCTATCGCTAGAAAGTTATAAACTTCTTTATATAAAGTTGCTTTCTTGTTTAGTCCCCATAATAATTGATTATATTAAGAACTAGTAGTTACAGTTACTTTGTAGTATGCATGTGCGCACTGAGACGAAGGTACTCATGCTATTGCGATAAAAATGTTTTAGGGTAACATTTTAGTATATTTAAGAACTGAATTCATATTTAAATACTTTGTCTCATTTATCGTGAAAGTTAACTTCGTATAGAGACACTACATTTATTATGTTTTAGTTATAAAGAGTTAAGTTAATATAGTTACAGAGGATTATGTTAATAACGAGAATATATTTCCGTTTTACTGTCTGTAAGCAGACGGAAAGATCTCTTTAATTTAGGTTAGTTTATGTTGTTTGCCTTGCCACACACTGGACCTAGTGAACTACATGTTTTGTCTTCATTTTTCTTTACATTTTGTTGCCTTTTCCTTCAATTTCGCTTCTCGTGCTATTTAACTTATTATAGAGAAGCATGTAACTTAAGATTTATTGTATTATTGATATTGTATAAGCGGAAAGTTATAATTTTTTGTTAATATATATTTTTTAAAAACACGTATTTTATTATTTGTTCTTTTCCACTAATTTGAGTTCTTTAAAGCTTTTTTTGTTCCACTCACGCCTTTATATCTACTATATTTTTTTCTGTACTACCTACTACCAAATGTTTGTGAACCTTCATTGCGAGCGAGTGTATTTTTCTCACCCTTAGCCCATAACAACAGAATTTAATAACAGGCTTTGATCAGTGTATTTATTGTTTCTGCTATAAACTTTTTTGAGTACTTGGTGAAGAGGTAAGATGGTTAAAGCGACAAATTTTTTATGATATATTTCATTAGTAAGGAAGAAAAAAGAAGTTAAAAGCAGGCGGAAAGAATTAGTCTTAGCCTATGAGAAGTAGTAACACCTAGTGAACCGTACATACCAGGAGGAAATATCACTAAAATAATAAAGAATAAGATAAAACTATAAGGAGTTTATAAAAATTGAAAAGGCAATGGTATATTAATAAACCTAAAAATAATTTTTTACAAGCTTATATAAACTTCAGGTATAGCCAACTACCGGTTCCAACCTGACTGTCCAGTCATTTCGAATTTAGTTTTTTTCATTTTGCTATTTAACCTTGCTTGTGAGTGAGTACTTTTGAACCAATGGAAACGCATGTACCTAGCAGGGAGGGTTTAACCACCTCCATGTTAAGGTTTTTGGTATAGTATAGAAGCTATCCTTTGAGGCGTGGCATCGAAGCCATTTCAAAGAGCAATGGGAAAGGGCAGATTTGCGAATCCCACCGATAAATACCGTATATTTTATATAACTATTTTATTAACTATTTATGAGTGTTAATATGCTAACTATTATATACCTAAACTGTATTTTATTACTGTGACTAAAGGCAAGGCTGAACGTAAGAAGGAAATTAGGAAGGTTTTATTATTACTATAAGTTTTAATTAAATTATTCACTTATAATTTTGCTTATATGCTCGTACCTTTTTTAATCTTAGTACGTACTGTTAGCTATTTTAACTCTATTATAGGATTAGTAGCAATTCTTTTGGTCATATTGTTTTTGGTTACCTTAGATTGTTAGGTAGGTTTTTTTTATTCTACAAGATTTTGGATAATATATTTTAAATTATAAAGTTTTAAACTCGTCTAGTAGTTTGGCATTATTTATAGATGTTTAGTCACTTAAAAAATTATAAAGTTGACTTTATTAGACTTTTCCAAATTTTTTTGTTTTTATATTATGTGTAATAAAAAGAATAAGCTGAAGCGTAAGCAAGTTCGAGAAAATTTAAAACGAGTTGATCCTTATAGACTGCAAGGAGAAATTGAAGAAATTGAAGATCAATGTTGATCCCTTCTTGCATATTTACTTTTTTTTTAAAATTCTTTACTTCTCTTCTTTACCAGTGAAGACGTCTGTTTTGAGTGACGCTCAAGAACTTGCCTTAAAAGAAAGAAAGCGTAAAAGCGAAGAGACGCTTTCTAAAACTCTAGACGCTTTGGTTGTTTTCATGTTTATATTTTTAAACTTTTTAGTTCTATAATGTTCCTGTAGAAACTTGAGAACGACGGAAGATACGAAGAATTTTTGAAGTGGTTGAGAACTCATATCCCCCGAAAGTATGTCATAACGGAAGACAGTAAGTCTGGAAATATTTTTATTAGAGCGGTTCATTCTTTTCCTTAGTTAAAAATTATTTGCAGCTAACTATAAATTATTAAAGTTTTCTTGTCTTGAGCTTTGATCTAAATAACAGGCTTGATCCCCATCCGTGACAAAAGCTTATTAACGCATGACTCCGATCTTTCTGGCGGGTCGAGAGCGCCCTCTGACGATGAATTGTTATATAATCGGACTCCTACTCTGCTTGACATCCCAGAAGATGCTTTGATCCCCTTAGATGAGATCCCTCTTCCTGGAGAGGACAGACTGTCAACTCTGCAGTCCGCAGGTTCTCGTTCCACGCGATCTCTTACATGTTCATAATCTATCTTATTAGATCCGACTTTACCGTGCGAGGCGGATTATACTTCCTACTTCGTTGGTTTTTAAACTTCTACCTTATCTAAAGCATCATTTTAAGTATTTGCAACCTCCAGGTACGCCTGCGCCTATTTCGCAGGGGCCCGGCAATTCTTATAATTTTCACCAGCCGTTTCTTCTTAGAGCCCCTTCTGGTATCAATTTTTTTTTTAAAACTTACTCGTGTATCATATTTTCTAGGGCCTCTATCGGGGTTTTCTTACGGCCCTCCTGACATCGTTGAACGCCTTTCTTTATTGCACGAATCTTATATTCCACCGCCCCCGTGGCCAGGAAACCCCTCGTTTACGAAAACAGTTTCACCCATTCATGGCACAGAACCCGCGGTCACGTAAGATTTATAAATGTAGATCTGTGTTGATGCGTTTACTTTTATCTCCCGTTTTTAAGGAAACGTGGTGATCTTGCGCCCGTGGACTCAGAAGGTTTAAGCAGTGCTCTTCCTACTTATAAGAACACGACGCCCTCACAAGGCTCCGAAATGTCTAAGAGCACCACGGTTTTTTTTTAATTTGTGCTTTGTGGTTCTGGTTGTTAACTTTAACTCTTTTCAGATTACGGCTGCTCCCCAAATTAGGGACATGGAAAAGGAACTACGTCAATTTATCCCTTCTTCCATTAGAAAAAAAACGAGTGAAGCGAGTACAGTTACTAAAAGGCCGGAAAGATCTTTACACTCTGGTCGCTTCTTGATTTTAGTGTGTTCAAACTCTTGCTTATGCCAGATTTGTTGTAGGAACAGCGCTCAAAAAGTCTTTACTTCCCAGAGTCATCGCTGCTCCCGATGTAGCTAAGCCCCCCTATAAGGACCCCTCTTTGCTAACCACCGACGATGCTTACGCGCAGTTCGTTTCCGAAATGTCCGGCTATTTGTAGCGTTATTGTAGAAAGATAGTACTTTGTAAGCAGAGAGTATTTCTAACACTGACATTTCAGCTCCCTATGAGGCTTTATGCTGAAGTTATTCTCTTATTTGTTTAATTAAACTAGTTTATCGCTACATTTAGTTTACCATCGCTTTTTCGACCCGTATGGCTTAAAAATATTACAGCAATAAGTAAGGTCCTCCAAGTTTATAAGCAATGCATATGTAACAATAAATTACCCCGTTTAAAGGTTTCTTTAGTATTTTCATTTGCACATTTTATCTATAAACCCATTTTTTGCAGACGTGACCCCTTGAATTTATTGTATTAACCATAAAGGTATTATTACAAAAATTTAACTCTTTAAAGTAGACCATGCTTGTAATTTTTATAAATAAACAGAGGATTTCGGTAATTTCTTGTTGGATAGTTTAAAGATGGGCGAGAGGCCGGTGGAAGTTTTAAGTCTCCTTTAGTTCACAAATCATATATATTGCCCCTACGTGCTGAAATTTATATTTTTTTACTTTTTTTACCTGTTTACTCTCAAGAAGTCTAACACCATAGAACTATTGTTCTGCTCCCGACACTTGCCAGCAAGACTCGACAAGTTTATGAACTTACGTTCTTGCGGCGCCCTAGCATCTTTTTAAGTCTTAAAAAAAAATACAATGATGGCGCCCATAAAAACTTGGCGTTAGAATCATGCTTGTCTTCTAACAAACGCAGGCCTTCTAAGTGAGGTTGTAATTGAGGAGGGCTCATATTTTTGGTGGAGGCGCAATAATGTGGTTATAAAGCTCATAACCTCCTTTTACGAAATCATTCCTATCGCCCAGTTTTTATAAACTTTGGCAATTATTTTAAAAGTTAGATAGCAAATCCTTGCGGCGACGCTTACGTTGGCAATGATGTGTGGTAAAACCTATTGGCTTCTAGGGTGCACAAGAGAAGCGTGATAACTCGTAGTCGGAGGGGGGGCTGGCTAGTATATGTACTGTCTGGTTTTTTAGGGGCCTCGTACTTGTTCCGTGTCTCGAGGAGGTGCTAAATGGCGGAAGTCTGGGCCCAATATCTATTTACTAGCTCTCAGCCCCTCGGTGCGGTCGTGCCTTTTTTCGGGTAGGTATGAGCGACCCGAAGAAAAATACAAATAAAGTGATTTTAAAGTGCTTATAGTACTGCCTGTAGTATGCTATATGCCAGTGTTAAAAAAGTATAAGGATAGCCAGGCATACGGGCTTACCTATAATAAAAAGAATGAATTTCATTGTAGGTGACTTTTGTTAAGCCTAGGTAGTTGGAAAAGCGACATGCAAAAAATGTTATACTAGCAACAAATAACGGAAGAGGAACTTACTGGAGCTAGCTTAAAAAGGTTAGGTGTTTTTTGGCCAAACTTAGTTGTAACGACCTTTCAACAACATAAAATCACCTAAAGGACTAGGTAAGTCTCACTACCAGGTTTTGATTGTGTCACATAGAATAGTAAGAATAGATACGATAAATAAACTTAGAGATTAAAGGTAGAGTATTCTAATTATATGATAGTTTATCACTCCAAAGTAGAACACAAGGGCACACACAAAGTAAATCAAGCGAGAACATACCAACATTTTCTAGTTCTATGAGCAATTTTTTCAGTATTTAAATTTTATTCGCCGTTGTTAATATAACTAATCACAGCTTTTCAAGAAACAATACAAGTTGTTGTAGCAACCAATAACCACAGGACCTTTATCAAAGACTAGCTGACTTAACCCTCTTTAGGTAGCGCTTCGTTCAATAACTGCTTGTAACAAAAGTCCGAGGTCTTACTAATAGAACTCCGCAAGTTTACTTAAAGGCAGTGTAAAAAGAAAATTTTTTAAAAATCTAAAGCATAATTTTTAAAAATAACTTTAGGTCTTTAAAAGTAAACCCGCATCTCTACTCTCTTGAAGTCAATGGTATATGGTTTCACCTGCAGAGCACTGGCTTAATTAATTTTCTCTCAGCTATTATTAAACTCGGACAGATATAATCTTTTCCTGAAAATAAAAGAAAATCTTATGATTGTCTGTATAAGCTAGGTTACCGCAGTTAAAAACATATTAACAGATTAAAAGTTCCTTGCTTTATCAATTAAGCTAGTAGTTTTCTTTTAGCAGTTAACAATAACGTAGTAAAAAAAATTCTAGCTAACATTATTTAGTATATTAAAAAGGAACAATCTTACAATAACAAAAGTGTACCGCAGGAATGGGTTTTAACTAATTAAAAGATGGTAATGATTACCCTGACCCGGTTCTTGTTAACGCCTACCTGAACCTAAAGAGGCATGCCCTTCACACCACTACGTTTAGCGATAAGAGGGAGAAATCACTAGCTTGGGTTGCTCTAATCAGCAGTAATGAAGAGAGCCTATCTTACAATGTAAGAACGAATTACCAAAGAAAAGGAGGAAATTGAACGAAAGTCTGGCCTTCTCGTAAACGAAGAGCAGCTCTTATCTGTGGAGATCGAAGCGACCCCTAATACAAAACTACCAGCATAAAACAAAAGGTAGAAAGGAAATTTCTTGTAATTAAACACAATCATGGTGAAAAAATAACCGAGTTTGAGGATAAATTTAATAATTTATTTGCTTCCCTGGAGGTTCCCCAAGGCGGAACTGGCATAAGCGACTCGATAAAATGTGAACGTTTTCTGTTTAGTTTACCTGATGATGAGTAATGGGATACATTCGAGAACAGTATTAACGCAAAAGTGTGTATTAGGTTAAACTTTGCACGTAAAGCCATTAATTTAACTCTGAAATCTGGCAGGGCACGAACAAATAACAGGAAACAGAGGTGAGCCACGTACATGAATTCTTAGGTGCATTGCTCCTGAAGAACAAAGAACATTCCAAGCGATGAAAACCCCCGTATGAGACTTGACCGTCCCTAAGAGCTACCAGCTCCAGATTCTGTGTGAAAGTTTGCAGACAATGCGTTATGACTGGACATATGGAAGATATGTTATTTTAAAGACAAAGAGTGTTTTAAGTGCGAAAACTTAGGTTCATCGGATTACAGTGCCGCTCTAGATCAAAAGCTCCTCGTACTCACATGTATGCATAACTGAAACTAAGCAGGCACCAATCAAGGAATCCTTTTTCTTTATCCATTGCAAGGAAAGTCGTAGTAAAAGGTCAGAGTTCTCAAACGAACGTTGTATTAGATTCAGGGCCGGTTGCCATATATTTCGTAGCCCAAAAATTGTTCAAGATTTTAAACCGGCCAAGGAGTTAGTAGAAGTCTATCTGAAAATGTGTTAGCCATCTGAGCGGGCGCCTTCCACAAAGAAAAGCTCTTATATTCCCGAATGTACAAGCAACCTTATAAGTGTTGGGAAAATTTGCAGTACGGGTAGCTGTGTTATTTTTTAAAGAAACACATTAATAAAGCTAAATAACTCCACTCCATGATCAACTATAAAAACTTTCTTTAAAAACTATAGCGAAAAGGAGTAATTCAGATATATACCAGATTATACAGAATCTATAAATCTAGTGAAAGCTAAAAAAGAATGGCATGAAATTGGTACATCTGGCGCAAATAAGCCAAATAAGTTAAAATGCTCCGATAGATAAAATGAATTTAAATGCAGCACATGCCTCGAATTCAACATTAGTAAAGTTGGGAGAAGAAGCAAGCTTGACTATTCTAATATAGGTAACCGACCCACGAATTACGTTGAATTGACTAAATGGTAGTAAATTCTCAAAGCAAATCTAAAAATTTCGTTGTTAAAGAAAGCCTGGAAGCTGGAAATATTATTCTTGAATATTGCGAAAGTATGGTGGCAGACTTAAGACTTATTCAATAAGAAAGATAATCTGTACAAAGCTTGAATAATAACCATAATAGCTTTCTACAAACTCCGGATATTGTCTATCATACCGGCCAAGATTGTAGTAAGACTTATTGGGTCCATTAATTGCAAGGCAAAATTGTAAGAGTTGTAAGGTAGATAACTCACGCAAACTTCACATGTTAGTTTATTTACTGGGATTTTACAGATAAAAGGCGACCTTAATTATACATCTTTAGGTATACACGAAGAACCTGTTAGGTTCTTTCATTCTAAGTAACACAAACGCTAAAAAAATAAGAATACAAAGCCTAATTAAGGGTTATTACCTATTATAAATGCTGCTTTGATAGTAACATATGCGGAGAACTGCTCAAAGCTAAGAGGTCCATGTTTTATAAACAAAATGAATAAGAAACTTAACCTGAAAACTGGCCCTTCAACGGACAAAATACCACATACCACTCGGCATCCCATTAAACAATAGAAATGTCAACATAGATACGCCAAATACACTAAATTGAAAGTTATCTAAATAAGTTAATGCTAATTTAAAAAGCTGTAAGCCTCCGCGAATACACACATTAACCACCAAACTTGGCCCACCACTTCAGCCCAGATCTTAGGACTAGACCCTTCTGGCTATCAAATTGGCTTACTATGAAATATAGTAGGGACTAGACCGAAAGTGTTGTTAGGATGAAGTACACTTCTCATTCTCCTCGCGTAGTGTAACTGTTGCGTCTACAAAGGGTAGCAAAATTAACAGAAATTAATTTACTTTTATTGCGTTGTCGCTAGGCATACAAACAGACGCACACTAAACCACTATATCTAATCCTCGCGCAAGTTTAAGCACACATAAAACCTGTCATTATGGAAATCTTTGTATACCTTAAATTAGGGCACATTCTACGATACCCCTCCACCTTAGGAATTTCCGAAAATATGCGATGTTAAGTATAAGAAAACAAAGCGGGGAGGTAGGAAGAGTAAGAAGAGGAGAGTGACGTTAACCTTGTTAAAGCTGATCGCCAATTGCTAAACCAATAATGGTTATAAGTAAATTTTCTCGTGCTTTAAAATATTAACTGTAAGTTTTTTTAATGGTATAAATACGATCTATGCTTCGAAACACCGCTCAAATAGGACTCGAATACTAAAACTAAATTTGTATAGGTAAAAATTGTATATATAGTTTCTATTAAGTATTTATTACCTTGTTACCTTATAATTTTATGTTTAAAGGAACATATTGAATAAAAAACATGATATACTAGTATTAATTTTTAATTTCTTAAACATATATTTTTGATGTTTTAATAGGTTCTAATTTCCTTCTGCCAAGAATGCATAACCTTATGAGCTGCGGAAAAAACCCATATTATAATAAGGAGCTGGTAGTATGAAGTTTAGTGACAACAACTTATTTAGCGATTTTTATAAAATGATAGATAATCTGTGTGGTTGGCTTAGTCTCAACTTTTATCTTTTAAACAGCCAAATTTGTAGATACTAGGCAGGATTATAAAAATTAGTGAGAAATTATTATAGTGGTCAAGATATTGATAAATTACTGATTATTATAAAGACTAGATTTTTTTTCCAGGAGAGTAAAGACTAAAAATTTAAATTACTTTAAAAAAGTCACTAATGCTAAGTCATTTTACTGTCAAGAATCAGTCTAGTTTAAAAAACTTGGAAGTAAAAAGGTATTGTTAGAGCTCGTATTCATTGCTGAAGCGCAAGAGTTGTCTAGTCGCCCCGCCTTTTGAAATTCATCGAAGTGCGTTAAAGCTAAGCGGGCTAAGTATCATTAACTATCTGATAGAATTAGCACAGGAGAAAAACACATTTATATTTTATCACCAAGCGAAAGTTTATCATAAAGATGAATGGCGGAAAGGAGAAGAGATTGGCAATTAGCTCGGTATTGACAAGTATTAAAATTTCAAGATCGAAGCTTTTTACCTATTTAAAAGTGTAACTGAATAATACGCATATACAGCTAAAAAATCTTCTTAAGAATTAATAATACAACACACCAAGCTAGGAACATAAAATTAAGATGTACTTTAAAGATGTGTTATGTTATTGATAAAATTTTATTTGCTTTAAAAACTTTATTCGATTGTGTCCTGTAGGCGACAACATTACTAAGGTCTAATATTACGATTTCTGCCAAACTGTTTTAAACCCTGGAGAACTTAGCGTCGCCACTATGCAAAACTAAACTTCGGAAGATCTGAGAACTTGGGAAATTAAAACTTTTTTTTAAAAAAAATCTTTTTAACTTTAAAAATTTAGGTACAATTAAAGAAAGAGTTAAAATAACTACCACTCGTGGCGTCTTATTAAACCTGGTTAAACTCACATTTTTATAGTAGCGGGTTAATAAACCGTGTAAATAATAGTCCGATGGTGTTAGTTTAACTTAAAGGGTTTACCAAAAATAATCTTACTAACCTAATTAAATATATTGCTCTAAGTTTTTAATAATAAATGACATATTTCGAACTAACATACGGCTTCTTGATATCTTTATGGTTGATTTGCCTTATATCATAAGTATATAAAACGTCCCTAAACAGATAATCTGATAAGGCCTACTCCTATAATATAAGGAAGCTCAGTCCTGAATATATAATATTACCTCGGCTTCAAGTACCTTAGTGTAAGATTTAACAGGTGTGGGAATGCACGCAAAGGTATTACCCGGTAAAGGTATTTGTATAGATTGTGAGCATCTAGGTAGAAGTGTGGGGGATACGCACACTTTCGATTATATACTTTTTTCAATAAAGAAATTTAATATGTATGCAGGCATAATTAAAAAATTTTAGATCCCTCCTATTAGGAAAGTTTATGTGTAAAATTTATGTAAATTCACCGCGGGTGCTAATTTCTTCTCTCTCTATCTATTTCGTTTAAAGGCGCTATAATTTAATCCTAGGGCACGATGCATCGAAATTAGGAATCAACACAAGAAAAAGTGATAGATAAAACCCTGGAAGAAACTCCCACTAAGTGATATTAAATGTAAACGTCTTTTCTTGGTGCTCGACCAGCCTTAAGTACTTCGAGCTCTTTAGCAGGAGTTGTCGTAGTCGAGTCTTCATTTCAAGAATTTTGTAGGGGAAAGTACAATACGTGGTAGGCACGCGTGGTCACACAAGGAAAAGTCAATTATATTTTAGCGTTAGATTCTTTAATGCAAAGGAATAATCAATGCTATTCTTATTTAACTCGAAAATGCTTTAGTGCAAATAGTACTGGGCTTATAGTCCGCCCTATCGCTCGCTATCTTCCACTAAACGTACTTAGACTTTAAAGTTTTCTTGTGGTTATAAACCTTCCAAAAAATCACAAGTCCTATATTAGTTCTCGTAAATCTGCCACCTTAGGGGCTTATAAATTATATAATATGTAAATTTTAATACTTTTTAACTGTAAAGACTGTATGTAAAACATAAATAACGGCATAAGGCCATATAAATTATCATTTATAAATATTACAATTGTATTTATTTTTTTGAATGGCTATGAGTTTCCTGTAAGCGCGCTTCAGTGAGTTCTAGGCGGCTAATAATTTGAATTTTCTAATTTTAAAAGTAATATAAAAACACAGAAGAGGTCGAAGTGCCTCGAGAAACGATGAATACCCCGGTTAAGTGAAGACTTAGTATCACGTCCGTTATTAAAATTACTATGAAGAAAAAAATTTTCGTCACGGTGTCTTGTATTACAATTAGTAAACAAATCGTTTGTCGGATTAATAGAAGCCGAGCTATTCTCTTCGTTCTCCAAAGACAACAGTTGGTCTATGACTTTCGCATTTTCAATGCCTGGGCTGGGGTCTCTGGAAATAAGTCCAGATTGCAGACTTAATTCCGGAATACTTCTGCTAAGCGTTTCCTCTGCGCCAGTGCGACTAGAGACAAAAAATATGGATACATAATCTACTCGTTAAGAGGAGTAGAAATATTAACCTCTTGAGGTGTACTTGATAGCTCTTCGGTAAAGGTGGTCTTCTTGGAGCTATTAAGTTCTGAGAGGACGCACTACTTATTGAACTGAAACGGCTGCTGTCATCTAGCTTGAAGCAGTATAGGTATTACAAGAATCACGGTGAAGGAATGTCACAAAGGTGACCACTAGATGAAGAGGAGAAATTTTTAATAATTTCTTGGCGTAAATCATTGTCCTGGCGATAAGCAAGATATGCAAAGTTAGATAAAAATTCTCTTAGAAATAAAGAATTTACTATTTCGAGCACAGTTATGTCGAAGACAGCACTGACGGGCCTATGATCGGAGATGCGTAGATTACAGCTAAGCGTAAAATAAGGTGAATGCTATAGCAACTTAAAAATATTAAAATGTTTAGAAAGACTTAAAAACCATAAGACCTATTGTAATAATACTGTGTAACATTGCCATAGACAGCTTGCTTATTTACAAAGAAAAGGATACGATCTGTCCAGGCCGGCGCGCGAGCCTTTTCACTAGTATCATAAACCTAAAAAGCATAAGAGTAAAAAAGATGGTGGAACCCGCAGAAAAGTTACATCAGAATTTAAATTAAATTTGTAAGTAGGGTTAAAGTGGATGCTTCCTTCATGGAAGTAAGAAAGGGCGCCACGTGGAGAGCACAACATCAAGAGTTGATCTTTCTAAATTAAAAAAAAAAGGACTGGCATTCAGCAAACGGGTATAAAGAAACAACCTTCAACAAAGGTTGCAAGCAATTTTCTTTTATCTTCTTCCTTATGAAGTCGGCAGGCAGGTCAATACGGAAATTTAGATCGCCAAACCAAAATACGTAGTTATGTGATAATATTCCCTTTCCTTAAAGCGTGAGGTCCTTGTAAATAGCGGATGTGCGGTCAGCGCTACGCATTAAATACCTTTGAAGAGCGTAAGTCGATTAATATCCTGCAAGTCTCTAAGCCGATCGTATACATTTAGTTGCCCTTCATTACAAATAATAGCAGGAAAACTTTTGAAGTTTCACGCAATACGCAACCGGCAGTTAGATGAGCCGAAGCACAACAGATCGCCGTGTCTTTGACCTGGAAACTTACAGCAACGCAACCTTTATTGCCTGTGCTCGAAGAAATGAAGATTAAATATTAACAGGTCTGGCAACTACGAAAAATACCTGCGAAACCGTGAAGACCAACTTTGGTTGTTTCTACCATCACATCATGAACGTCGCAAAGAAGCGAGTCGGCCACAAATAAATATAAACAAACACCGACCAACTGCTGCCGAGTTAAAAGTTTGTAAGAAGTGCCAAGCGTGTCTAAGGCCAAAACGAACAAAGTCATATTGTGAGTATTCCACGAATAAGAGAGAAACCGAGAGTCAACTTCAGCTTGCACTCCCAAAGAGTACTGTTTGAGAAATCTTCTTTAAGTATGCTCCTGTATATACTATGAGGACTAAAAAAAGTAATGTAAACAGGAAATTACCCGACATCTATATTAACAATTTCTTGGAAGCCGATGGCATATATGTCCGGAGGGTCATCAACCACATAGTCGGTCAACCTATAGTTGTCATAAGCCAATAGCTGTGGTAAATTACACATTGCCGAATGCAGAAGATACCAGGGACCTAAAGAAATGGAAGCCGGGCAAGCTAAGCCGTTAACATTGTACGTTGCAATGCACAACCGAATCTCTTGATTATTAATAAATGACTTAAGAAAGAAGACGCATGCACATCGATGAAAAAAATAACCTTCAGTCCTTGAATATTCACGAAAGCGCTCATTTAGAATTTTACTGACTAACTCACTTTTAGAAAACAAGGGTTAAAGTTCGTATGAAAAGAGTCAACTAAGCAGCAGAGGCCTGTTCGGGGCACTGTACGAAGGATGAGGAGTAGTGAGTATTAGATCGATAAGCTCCTGGACTTTGGCATCCTTAACGTTGTTCTTGTAGATGCGGGTGACCGACTTTATCCCTATGCGGATCGAAACAAAGTAAAGATAACATTTATCGATAATAATAGAAAGAGCCACCGTCATTCACGATGCTGCGAGCTGTCCGTCTGCCAGTAAGGGCAAGCTCACTCTATGGAAATAATAACAAGTATTACTTATTATAAGTTTCCGGTGAATTTCCTATAGTAAACATAAGTAAATAAAGAATAACATTTAAAGCATCTGTTCCAGTGTAGTAGTTGCTAATCATATTTCCTGCATTTTAATAAAGGGAACTTTATTTTCTTTTTGATTTTCTTTATGAATGCTAAAAACAATGGGCAGACAATAAAATACCATTGTTATGCCAAATTAGTCGAAATACTTTTGAAAATCTCTCATAGTATTTAGAGGGAAGGCCCAACGCGTCAAGCTTATATATTGAAAAAGTTATAGAAGTCAAGTTTAACAAGAGATACGTAAAAATTTGAATTTAAAAATTAGGAGGAACCTGCAGTTCTAACATAAAGCCACCTATAGACTGCTGAACGATGTTGGTCCTGTCGAGGCAGTCAAGGCAGTTGGTTCGCAAAATGTTTTTCTGAGGCATAAAAGGCAGTTATGGAAATTTTGAAACGATGTTAAAGCGTGCTTTCAAACCTGCAAGAGGGAAGGGGCGCAACTCCCGTGCTTAACAAAAAAATTGCCATTAACAATTGTGTCTAAGCATTCAAACAGCAGTTAAAAAAGAATAAAGGCTACAAAAACAAAGAAAGCGAGAAAGAAGCAGAGTACCACAAAGGAGCGTGAGCAAGCTATAAAGAGTATCAAGCTTTCCACTTCCGCATTCAGCATGAAAATCAAACGATACTAATCCAACGCTCATGCCGAGTTCAGCAAGTTTCCCCTTAAAATGAAGTTATAAAAAAAACCAACTTTCAAGCTATAAAGCACAATATATTCTTCGTAAGCAACGCTCAACATCTTCTCCGCATCCTTGCCACCAAGCAGATTCACACACATGACGGGACCGTATACGGAATTCTGAGTTGATAATAGAGCAGAAATTAATAAGTAAAAAATTCCTTTCTTACCCTGTAGACCCTTAGTCACCCTAAAAAGTCGCTGGACCGAAATACACTACTCGCCCACCACAAGCAATGTGAATAACAGAAAAAAAACAAAAAAGCCTTACTAAATGACTAAAATGTTTCTTGAACGCAGGCAGCATGGCCTCCAAAGAACGGGAAAACTGAATTTTATGCCGCCCAAGCTGAACAAAAGGTAAAAGTCATCGGTGCACACAGAGTTATAAAAAACTTACATTTAAGCCTTTTTGCTCCCAAAAAAGAGGAACTGACCCCCGAATTTGGCAGAATGAGGTGATGTTATCTTTTCATAGCCAAAAATTATCGGAAATCAAATTATAAAAGAGATTTTATGCATTAAAACACCATTATTTTCCAATATTTGTTCGGTTTCGACAAAGTTCGCTACAAAGCCTGATTTGTTGCAAAAGAGTAAGAATAGTAAAAGTACTTGGAGAACGTACTTAACATAAATAATTAAACCAACCTTCATCATTAATCCCCCGTGTTAAAAACCGGGTGCCTGCTCTTCTGCAACTTGTGCGGGATATTAGGCCCACTACATATCGTTCTTGAGAAGTAGTGTAAAAAGTTTAAAATAGAAAAAAAAAAAAGGGAGGGGGGGGGATGAGTGGAAAACAGGCTATTATCAAAGTGACGAAAGAAACAGCATAATTATAAGAAATGGGATTGTAAAATATACTTAGACTTTTAAATTTTTCCTAATAATACTGGGAAAAAAAAGTAGTGTGCTAAACGAAATATTATAGTCTACAATATGATTAATTAAAAGATGAGCTAAATAACGAGGAAAGTCAGTCACAAAAGAAAGCTTGAAGCCACAAACCTCCGGAAGCCCATAATGTCTGAAACTGAACAAACCCACGTATAACTTCAACATAAAAAGTTTTAGGAACGTAGGCTTCGTAGAAGTCCGTAAGGAGATTCCTATTCCAAAAATACTGCAATATATATGTAATTGCCATCTTAAAATAATAAAATTTTAAAAAATTCAAGTCTCTTTTTTTTTAAAAGTTAATAGAATAAAAATAAAGTCTTAACTTGATCGTCAGATAAAGAATGTTGATGATAACGCTGTCGGCTCAAAGACAAATCCATATGGTATGAAAAGTAGAAACTTCCATCTTCGAAAAATTTTTGCAATCTCTGTGGTATATTAGCTCAAAAATGGTATATCGTAAAAACCAATGTTTTAAACTTTTAAAAAGTCAAAGTGGCTAAAGCGTTGCTTAAAAACATGATGAAGTTCTATTGATTTCACTTGGTAGATGGTAGCGCCTGAAAGATTAACCTCTGCCTCGCAAGAAGTTATCACAACTAGCACAGCGCCTAAATACGAAAACATTAAGGTAAAATGTAGTCATCATGTTTTATAACATAACTATACCCAATTTATCCTTAAAAAGGCCCAAGCATCCAAATACCTTACCAACGCGAACAAAAGTGCGTTCCGAAACCCCATCCGGTTTAAAGTCTGGAATAAGCAAAAGGTTTTAAATAATAATAGGTTTACTGGTTTTGAACAATTTTTTCTATACAAAACTAAAACATGGTCAATCAAAAAAAAACCACAATCTAGAGCAATTTTGTTGTCTTCAAAAATTAAAGTTTTTTGGTCCTTCTGCGAACTGTTAAAAAGGGAAAGATAAAATATAGAAATATTTATAACATACATATTATTACATATAAAAAATATAGGTCTCATATAAAAAGTACTAAATTGCCAAAGAATGTGGTGGGAACTTATACAAAGTAAGCAAATTACTGTTGTTCATTTCAAATAGTGCAGATTATTAAAAATTTCTTTTCATAATCAATTTGATGTCTAACTATACAATTACTGCGAAACAGCCACTGATGATTTTTTACTAAAAAGGCGAACAGCTCGAAGTACAAGCGAAAATTATCGACCAGCAGAGCCTAGTACAACTAGGGTCCTGAACTGCCCCTACAAGGAAGGTTACCTATTTTATTTAATGCTCATCGTTCGTGTAGAGGGCTAGTTATGGATAAATATACAAATAACAGGTTACTGACTTTTTTGTTGAAAAACTGATTGTATCACTGCATGGTTATGCTTTTTGGTAACGATATACGTACACTTGTCAGACGAATTCTAGTTTAGTGTAAGTTAATTCGTCCTTATATATGGTGCGCTAAAAGGATTGCTTGTTAATAATTATAAACCATCTCTACAACTTTTACTCTTATTCACATTTAAAAAACCAGCTAAAAAAAGTTAGAGAGCTTATTGCACTAATTATTCACCGGGTAAAAATCCCTAAGAACGGAGATTATAGGTTTATTTCTCAGACTAGATCTTGAGCAGCTTAACGCCGACACAGGACGCCGGACGCTATATTATCCCTAGTATTACCCCAAACGCACCCACCGTTGAATCGTAGCTCCTACCGACAAGTTAAGGAATTAACTTTTTTAAGGAGACTAAAAAAAAATTTTTAGTAGCCATAAAAACTATATGATAGGTAGGACAATGCCATGCCTTCTGAATCTTCTAAAAGCTCAATTTCGTTTCTTCGCGTCAAGTTAAATACCAAGAGGTTTCCAATGGTAGCTGTTGAGCTTAGTCGCAACTCCAAAAAGAGGACGCTATTAGTTGGGTGCGATTAATCCGTTGTAAACGTACACAGGTTCGGCACTCCACCTTACCCCAAATGATGAATAACTTGTTCAAAACTTTTGATTACTGAACTGGTGTAGCTCAGAGATCCAAGTGTGGACTTTATCTGGGTCTTGACTGCTCTGCAAGATTTTAGGTTTAGGAGGCTAACTAAAAACTTGGCTAAAATTTACTAACCCTAGGGAAACTACCAACCTTCAAAATTAAAGAGAGAAAATATTTCCTCATTTTCTTTCTCCCTTTCAGTTCTCTCTTTCTCTGCTGCCCCGCTATTACAAAAAAATAATCCTCATCTCCATTGCTGATAAAAAAAAATTATGCACCCATATATACCCCCCTCCCTGCAGGGAGAGGTTCTCCACCTAGCACTAAAAATTTCTAAGACCTTTTCCTAGAAACTGCATTAACTTGTTTGCCTCTAAATCCTTGTTCCCACAGAGAATTAAACTCAAATTCTGTCGCAATTCACTGCAACTTTAAAAGAAGAAGACCTCGGCGAGGACACTGTAAATTGACATGATTTCTTAAAAGATGTCGGATATAATAAGTTGAAGGAATGTTTATTAGTCTTGAAATCAAACATCAAGTATAATGACAGCGACCGCGAACTTAAATGCGACCTGTAGAGAAGCGAGTATAAAAAAAGAACGCATACGCAGAATTTTAAATAATGACTACTCTGATTCCGACGTGAGTGAGCGAAGAACTAGCTTTGAATCTTCAAGGATCATATCGAGGGTCATTGAATGGAGCTCTCCAGGCTGTAACGACAGAGTGCAAATGACAAAATTCACTCGGGTTGTCTTTGTCAAATCAAAGCAAAAAGTTTACCTTAAAGTCGCGGAATATCTTGATTACGCTACAACTTGAAGAAAATACACATTGATTAGGTGGTATGGTAGGATAAAGTAGACCAATACAATAGTGCTATTTGCAAGTATACCCTATAATGAGCCCGACCGGGGAGAATTTAAGTCACTCGAATCGATTCGCTTGCGCAATATTAGAATTGTTAAAACCCTTCCCATACAGCACCGGAGACCCCCTCACCATCGCAGTTTTTAATGAAAGCAATGAGGTAATCCGTTAGTATATTAAAAACAGACTTATGAAGCTTGTGAAAATATTAATACAAATTTGTTTAAACTGAGAGATTTTGGAATGCTTATTTGCTTATATGATTTAAAACCAGGGGATTTGGCTAACAATGGAACGGAAGGATCCTTTTTAGTTCCTTCACAGACACATGCGGAGACTGCTGAAGAGTTCTTAATAGTATACAACCCAGACATTAGTCGCCTTAAAATAAATTTGGAGAGTGCAATATACTGGACCAACATCCCTTACACGGTTACAAGCCTTTCAAAACCTCATTAAACAACCCCAACTCCGAGAAGGGAGGCTCTTGAACTTTTGCTCACCCCTACTTCAGTAAAGAAAGAAATTTCTAGATAACTTACTCGTTATTTGAAGGGGGAGTGTAGTGCTTGTGTTCCTTATAAGGTATAAATGCACTCAACTGGGGGCGTTTTTTTGGGTTGCGCTTAATGTCGAAGGTACAAAAGTGTCTACAACAAGATATAAATAATAACAGATTTATTAAATACTCTTTAAACTTACATCCATAACCTATAAATCCTTGTTTGCATGCCAGGTAACTGTTGGAACTTTAAACGCCCTGCGAAGACATGTAATACAAATTAAGCTTAAGTGGAATGTTTTGGACATATTAAGTATAGTCACGGATATATTAGCACCTTAATTTGGTATAAGAATTCAGGATTTGTGATAGGATGAGCAGAGATAACAAAATTAAAGGGGCCCTCGGGTGCAATTGCTAACCTCGGTTTTAACTAAACTTCTGTTGTGTCGTTATCGTATGTAAATGATAGCGTTAGCTTTTTCAGCAGACTTATGTAAACGATCACCTTACGAGAACGGAGAATTTTTTACGAAGGTTAAGTTCTAAAAAAGGGCTAAATGTCGCAAATCCTACCGCTATTCAACATTAAATAGGTCTACTGCATGAGAAAATATGTAACTTTACTAATTATCACCTAAAATACAAAGATTCAAACGTGTTATTTTAACAAAAAGAATCCTTTTCCCCCACTCATTAAAATTGGTATCATTTATAGCAGTGACTTAAAATAATGGATTAACAATTAAATTTAAAAATAATACTCATATAAACTTTTTATTACAAAGTAAGTTTACTACTATTATCTATTGTAGCTTTCATATGACAAAGGCTGAGTGTTGCTTTTATGGACGCTAGCACAGCTATTGAAAATGGTTCAAAAATTAAGCATACAATAATCATAGATACGCAGGTTTACAAGCTATACTTTTAACGAATGCACCATTTACTTGGGAACAGAAAAGTAAATATATAGTTTGGAAAATAGCGCATTTACTAGTATTAAAAACCACTCTGTTCCCTCAAAACTCTAGAAGTACTATAAGATACATTTTTATGCGGTTCATTTACTCGAAGTAATTTGTGATTAGTTATAAATCTTTTTCTTAGTAAGATATTTTAAACTTAAAAGTTTTGTATAACATATATAACAAAATAACCTTATTAAATTTATTAACGGTGGGCCAGCTATCTACATTGGACCAGTAAATTCATATACCATAAAAAAAAAGGACTGTACAGAAGCTATAACTTATTTCTTTATTACAACAAATTAGTCGCCAAAAAATGTAGGTATCGCTTCTAATAATTGCCCACAGTAATTATTTCTATAAAATATTTCAGTTTCATAAACTTCAATCAAAATTTATTGTTTTAAAAACAGCTATTCCATTCAAATTCTGTAATTGCAGTTATATGCATTGTTTTATTACTCATTAGCTGAAAAAGGCCTTTATATTGTCATTTTCGCTTTCATGTAAGCATTCATAATATATCTTTTTCATTGTAAAGCAAAAATGAAGTATAGTGAAAGGTTATTCTTTAAGACTTTAATTCAAATGCAGCGAGTATATAGCAGGACGTTAGCGTTTAAGGTTTGAGTAGTAGCTTCTGAGTTCACTCAGGATATTTTCATCAAAAAGAAATAATGATCGTAAAAAGGAGAAACATAACTTTTCTACCTTTTTTTCTTTCGACTTTAGTAGAACATCTTAAAGCTAGCATTTCTAAAAAATTATTAGTTCTTTATTTTGCTCAACTAAAGTAAAACTTACTTATATAATTGCTAAAGTAGTTAAGTGGCATAACTTTACTCCATGTAATGTCATTGATTCGACTTTATTCTTAAGCATAACTGCCAAGAAAATTTTGCTCTACCTTCGCCGACAAGCTGTCATGGCAAACTTCCCTGTTTCTTCTAAGGAGAATAATTGCTCAAAAATTGTGTATAAGTACTGAATAATTCTAGCCTTTGCTACGCCCTCCGGCAGCTAACTTTAATCTCGCATTAGTTGAACTAACGTAAAACTTTTCTCTTAATTTACACGGTAGCAATTTTACCTTTTTCTGAAACGTAAGTAGTAAGTTTTCGGTGATTCTAAACAGTCTATGTTGAGGCGAAACAAGCTCACAGGAGAAGTACCAACCTGTTAAGTACTGTGAAGGAAGATTTGAAAGGGACCCTCAAGGGGGTGAAACAGAACATCTACCTAATATTCAAGCGTAGGGGTGACTAAGTTGAGCTTTTTTAATTGAACAGATGAGTCATCCCAAGTACCTTGACTTTGGCTACCTTACTAGCTTAAAATTGGTAGAAAAACTAACTTAGGTTTGGCGTCTTGCGCCAGTGGCCTAGTAAAGTGTGAAATCAGGTCTTAGCGCTTATATCTTTAATCCATCCGATTTATATAAACTAACTTAAAATTGGTAAAAATGCATAGTAAGTTGGCCTAAAAGGATCAGCCCTATGTAGAAATACGGTAGTTCTACTCTAAGGTAATTTCCAACAAAGTGCATGTAGTTGTCATAGAGCTACTTCATGATTAGACTCTCCTTCAACGTTGGATATCCATCTGTGCACTGGACGGACACATGTCCTAGAGCAGTTGCCTAAGTCTCTAGTGCTAAATAGTAACCCTCTACCATCCTGGGCTTCCTTTCCCTTTAGCTGAAACA